GAAGACAAACCTTTCAATCCCAAAAGGCAGGGCTGATGAGATATTATAAAATGCATTGCATTTTACATTACATCCAAAAATTTGCATTCCGGTTAGAAAGTTTGTGGATTGGTGTCCTGGTTCCGGCCAGGATAGGGTTAACTTTTGCAGTAGCCAGGAGAGGGCATGGCTAGGACCCAGAGGTTTTTCTGTAACACCTCACATCATTGCCGGGGCGGGGGGAAGGAGTCTCTTCCCAGGAGAAGGGCTCTCTTCTGGATCAGCGCAGTGGCGGAAGGAGCATCGCAGGGAGCATCGGGCATGTCCTGGGTTTCCGTGAGAATCGTTTTCTCTCTTTCTTGTACCCTCTGTCACTAGTATTGTAGTTGTTACTGTTTTCTTATCTCAACCCATGATCTTTACCTTTTGTGCCTCCAATTCTCCTCTCCAGCCCTCTCCAGGGAAAGACAGAGGGGGAAGAGTGGGCTCACGGTTTGGAGAGTCTCAGTGGGAGCACTAAATTAGGGAGTACCATTCCTAAACAATTAGGAGTCAGCAGAAACAAAACAGGTCAAACTCATCAATTTCTTAATATTCCAAGTCCTCAGAAACTGATATCAGTATAGTAAAAGATTATTCAAACCACAGCGGGCAAGGAAAAAAACCAACATGCCTTAACAGTGGCCTGCTTAGTAACAGTTTTTCTAAGATTTGTTACGAAAGGATATAAACATACAAAAATCAAGAACTGGTTCCTACAGTGGCTGCATATAATATAGGTTAATTAAATGGTATTATGAGCAGAATCACAAGGCTTAGAAAATGAGAAGTCTCAAGCCTACAAATTAGGTCTAATCAAGGCATTGTGATCCTTTACAAAACACTTTTTCAGGAGACACACACGGCTAAGAAGATATCTAATTTAATACTGAAGTACCTCATTTGGAATCAACTTCACAACATGTATATCTCACAAAAATTATACAAGTAAAACACTTAAGTTTTCAACTTAAATTATTGCTTGTTTACATATAAACTGGATTTTATGTACCTTACAAAATGTCCTCGTAGTCCACACTGCTTTAAAATAATCAGAAACATGATAGTGGTGAAGTCTGTAGTGATATCTGCTATAGGTATTACAGGAATTGTTATTTTCCCAGCTAAGGGGATGGGAACCAGAAATTATCATGCTTTAAAGCAGGTATCTTTGATATTATGCACCAATTCTGCCACTACCATAATCATTACATGCATTACCATTGAACTCTGCTGTTCAGCATCCAGTAACTGGCTATGCAGATTGCTGGAAACACACCTAAGGAAATAACAGAGTAACCTGTTTTTTAATTCTATTAGAAAGAGTAAGATGACAGAGGTCAGGAGAGCCAGGTTAAAAAAAAAAAACAGATTTGCTGATTGTTAGGAATTTAATTAAATGAGAATGTAACCAACTTGTATGTTTGGATTCATGACTTGCATCATAAACACTACCACAAAACCCAACCAAATCACCCCTTATAAACAGCCCTCTCACAGGGTAATTTTCATCTGTTTTACAACTTTAACCCCATTCAAAATTGGTCTGTATCGTTTTCTGCATCAGTTGATCTTCTCTGACTTGCTGTCAGTGGAACATGCTTGTTGGAGGTCTCTAAATGTACCAGACGTTGCTTCTACGCCCTCCTCCATTGTCTCCTCTCCGCCCCAAAATGCAGGCCTTAGTCTAAAACACCAGTTTTCAGACAGAACTGAATCCTTTGCACCAGACTGTGTAAGCCAGGGAAAACAAAGCAAAAAAACCCCAAGGTCTAGAACTAAACAGAAACAGAACAAGAGCATGGTTGTTTTTCCTTAAATACATACATTTAAATACATTCAATCTGACATGGTTTATGAAAATTGCCTGTCAACATTTACTTTGCAGGAGAGATCTAAGTTGCACTAAGGTGAATGCAGTGAACAGACTGAGCAATGTCTGTACGCTAGCTTCAGACTGTCAAAGAAGAGGCTGCTCTTCGGAACGACCCCCGGCTCCCCTCGGGAAGGCAGGGCTGAGTCCTGTTGGCAGCAGGCAGCCACTGGGGCTGGCAGCTCCGCCGGGACAGACAAACAGACACAGCTCTTCAAACTGGTAAGGGTTTGGGGCTGTAAGCCCAGTCAGCTGAAGAAAGGAGCAACCAAACCACCCTCAGGGTCAGCAATATTTCTGCAAAAGAAGACAAATGGGGGAAAAACAAATGAATTCTTCCTGCTGGGATAGTGAAGATGGATAGGTCAATGAGATCTGGGATGCTGGAAAATGCAACATCCACTGTCAACCGCGCACTACTGTAATGCTTTACACCTGAAATTTAATTGGAATTTATAAAGCTAAACTATTCTTTGTGTACACTGATACAACTGACCGGCAATTTACTTCCTTTGCTATCAGAAGAGATTTAATTTCACTGCATTTTTTGATCCTTAGTTAATTCCAATTATCCTGAATGTTATAGTAACTCAGGATCATTCACCTCTTGTAAACTCCAGCTGAAGCCATGGCAAGATGGTTTAAAATAAGTCTCATTCTCAGAATATGTGCAAAAATCTCTCTTAGTGCTGCATCACTGTCAAAAGAAACAATTGCCCTGGCTCACTTTTCCTTCCAAGACTCATAATGAGAAAGGGAATAAAGAAGTAAAGCCAGCTTCAGCTACAGATCCCTAGAGATGTTTTTTACATCATACTTAATACCCTTGCAATGTCTTTACACAAATATAGTACAAACTGGTTTCAGCTGAGTTGATTATGTTCTTCCTTATTCACAAAAACATCAGGATGTGGTTTTCACAGTTGTTTTAAGACTACTCCTTCCAGTGGCTGCAATCTGTGCCTTTCTATCTTCCTCTCCTTGTAAATGGTTGCTCCCATGGGGTGCTGTGGTCAGTCAGGTCAGAGTCTCAATCCAGCCAAACCCATTTTCCTCCTCCCCCGGGGTTGCTTTTCACTCACATCCCGTGGCACTGGCCGTGGAGCAGCTCTTTGCTCACAGCTTCCTGTCATGCATGAGGAAGGCTCTGTTTGCTCAGGGACAGTGCTGGTGCAGCTAGCAGCTTTCTCACCAGTCCATGTGCACGCTGCTAGGCTGCCTTCTGGAAGCTGCCTGCACCACGCTTTGGACCTTACCACACCTTCCTCTGCATTCACACAAGGCCTGGAAATGTAGCTTTACTGACAGTCAGTGTCAAGAATTATCCCACAATGCAGGAAAGCAAGGTCCTACGTTTTGTACATCTCCTATTCTCACTTTAGCTGGTGCAGCTGGAGCTCTTTGGGTGTGACCAGCCATGGGCAGCACTGAGTCCTGATCATGGCTCCTCCTTCTTTCATCACAGCAGACCCCACACTCACATCCCTTGAGCCCTGTCTAATACAGACAAACTAAACTTTGACTCTTTCTAACATGCTGAGAGGCAGTTCAGGGACACTGTTAGTGGTTTTTGAAGTGGAAACAGAAGTGAAAATCCAAAGATGTCCTTATTTTCAGGGTGGACATTTAGTAAACAGTATCTCCAGAGAGATACTAAATACTCCCACTATACCAGCGACTTGAAAAAAATTATGTACTATAAAAGTTGCACATTAATTACACAGCTTGAACTTCCTTTAAAAAAAACCAACTTTTGTAGGAGTAGGTTATGGCTCAGTTGCATGAAAAAAGCAGCTGTTTAACTAACTTTTATTACAGTTCAAAGTTCAGTGAAAGGTATTTATAGTGCATATCAACTGCATTTTCATTGAGAGTCAGAGGTACATTACTAGAATAAATGTAAAATCACTAAGTGCAGTCTGATGTAGCTTTCAAAATAATTTGAGAGGTTTGAAGAAGTTGCTTTTCTTCAGGTGAAACAAAGCTTCTCTTATGCATTGCTACTGTCCCTTTCATTATCATGGCACTAGACTCCCTTATTATAATTTTACACCCCAGAGATTCCCTGCCAGAAGTCACGCCACTCATTTCTTTCCCCCTTCACCCTGACTTCTCTCCACCATCTCTTGTACCCTTTCTGTCACACTCACTCTCTCTTCCTTCTCTCTTCCACAGTTATCTAAAATTTACCTCCTCCTTTAGTCTGCTTCTGTTTCAACATCCTTATTCCCTTTCTTTCCTCAGCAGTACCTGGTATTTTCTACTCTGACAGCCATGCTTCTCTTAGCACGTGAAATTTAACTGGTTAGGGAATGCACTAAGTAGGAGACATTCTAGCAGCCTCCCAGTACCTAAAAAGGCCCACAAGCAAGCTAGAGAGGGACTTTTTACAATGGCATATAGTGACAGGACCGTGGGCAATGGCTTTAAAGTGAAAGAGAGTGGGTTAAGATTAGGTATAAGAAGAAATTCATTACTGTGAATGTGGTGAGGCACTGCAACAGGCTGCCCAGACAAGTTGTGGATGACTCATCCCAGGAAGTAGTCAGTGTTGGATGGGGCTTTGAGCAAGCTGATCTAATGGCAGAGGGTTGGAACTAGATAACTTTAAGGTTGCTTCCAGCCCAAACCAATTTATGATTCTGTAATAATGCCTTGGTATATAACAGCTTCTGCTAGAGCAGAATACACTGCATCTTTTTATTAATCTAAGTGACCATGAAATGACTGCAGAAGAGACTCTTTACGTAGAGATCTCCCACTCTTGGAGACAAATATCTGTATATTTATATGAGCAATGAAGGTGTGAGAAGAATTGGCATTCAGAAAGTTTTAAATATATATGAACACAAAAAAGACAGGGGCACAATAAAATATCTGTACTTCTGCCTCAATACTTTTACATCCTTCATTTTCATCCATGTTATTAACTTTTCAGACAGATGTTTCTAATTTCCCTTTTTACTCAAATTCCTCTTTAACAGCAGGGAACTTCACCCTGGCCCAGGAGCCGCCGCTAGATGGCGCCTCCCCCGCATGGCTCGGCCGCCCTCTGTCCATCCGTCTGTCGGTCTGTCCCTCCCTCCCTTCCTCCCGCCTTCCTTCTCTGTCTGTAGAGCAATCCCCCCTCACATTAGGTACTATTAACCAAGGAACTTGTAACTTTGTAAGCAAAAAGATTCCGTATCTGCTCCAGCCGCAGTATAGTCATAGTTCTGCTGCACCTGCACCCCATTTCTTACCCGTGCTGCATCTCCGTCCTGCTTTATCATATCCATTCCAGGCAGCTGGTTTGGAAAGAGATTGCCTCCCCTCATAGCAGGATCATTAACCTGTTGGTAACAAGATATTAAGGAGAATGAATCAAAAAATGTACTGGGAGGAGGGCTGGGAATGAAAAAGAAGCATTACAGACCATTACACTACTTGCATGCACCAATGCCCACTCCTGAGAGGATGCTGAAGTCAGGGAAGCGACAGGAACCAGGCACTCCTCTTGCACAGCATGTCTCTGAGTTATATTATTCTGCTTCACAGTCAACAACAAAGGTTTAATTCCTGATACTATGACCTTTACACATACTTTACAAAGCAGGTTCCATAAATTAGGTTAGTGTTATCTGAAGAGGACATCCCTGCTACCAAAATTCTGAAAGCAGAAGCATGTAACGACCTTCCTAACCTCAATAACACATGGCTTTGCTTCTTGTAAACCACTACACACTTTTTTCAAAGTCTGATGAGATAACATGTAGGCTAAATTACACCAACTACTGACTTCGTTTTAACAATAACTTTTCTTTTTGTAAGCAATAGGAGAAAGATAATATTAAATGGGAAAACCAGCAGTGGCATGCTTTCCTAAAGTCTCCACAATTTTCTGAACACAGTCACAGGGAAGTATTGAAGCTGTGCATTTCTGCACAACCAAAAGGTCTGTCATGCTTAGTTATGTGGAAAGAGCAGTTTGCCCAACTAACAGCGTTGCTTTCTCAGTCAAAGGATTAACCTCACCATGTAGGAACTGGCCTAAAATACAGAACAGAGCCCTTCAGCAATGTTCTGAAACATCAGAAGAGACAGCTTTCCTTAGAAGTTTTACAGGGAAAGGAAGAAACCTCTTTCTAGGAAGACTTTCTTGAGTCAATTCTGTTACTTCCCTCAGAGTAGATCCCATTCTCTTGACACCCTTCCTCCAGACATATTATATTGGTAAGATCCTGTCTCAGCCTTCTCTTGTTGAGGAAGACTGTCTTGAATTTACCACACAAAGTCTTCTCATTCAGGTCCTCCTCACTGATATTTCTGTTGCCATTCACAGATTTTGAAAAATGTACTCATATGCAATTGCCTAAAGATTGGTTTCAAATCCTGCCAGAGACAAGACAACAATTCAATGGGAAAGATTAAAAACTTAAAATATTTTTGCCATAGGAATTTTAACTCCAAAGAAATTGATTAAGTGCTGAAAGCCTCCTAGTGATGCTTTCTGCTTCCTGGAGAGATTTTTAAACCTGAATGTGAAAATTTAAATCAGAAGGGTAGAGAACCAAGTTATTTTATTCAGAATGAAAGATAATAGACAGCTTTGCAGCTCTGTCTGCATACATTTGATGAATCCATGTTTAAGAAGTGCTTTCTGCTAATAATCAACATTCATTAGAATGTGCAAGCACAAATACCTCTTCTGATTGTTCAGTGGACAAAGGGAGGTAAAAACGAAAGCAGAAATAAGAAACTTGTATCCTGAATCAACATCAGTTTTGGAACTAAAAGATGACTGCATGATTTGCCTCATTCCACTTAGGACAGGTATGGAAAAGGAAAGTGCTCCAGGACACTACAAAAGGAACAAAGGCATCAATGAAGTTTCTATTGAAGAATCTCTTTGCCAGTGATGATGTAAGAATCCTGACTGACATGGTATCAGACATAAAAAAACTGCAATCCAAACTCAAAAAACCAACAAAAACCCCCTACTATTTTATTATATGAATACATTTGCTTCAGAAGACCTTAAAACAAAACACCTCATATTAACTTTTCTGACTGCAAAAGAATTCAATTAGAAAAGTATGGAGAAGGACAAAGAAATGGAAAGGTTTCTATAATTTCCTGAAGAAAGGTGGAGTTATTATATATGAAGTCTGACTAAAAAAGAACAAATATATTTTACAATTCCTTTGCAATTAAGCAAAATTAGTAGTTCTCCTGTAAAGCAAAATTAATAGTCTCCTGTAAACCAAAGTTATGTACAAGGTGTCTAACAAACAGTTTCCTACCACTCCAGAACTCTTTTAATCTGGTATGCTGAACAAAATCAAAACACCATTTTTCAAGATAACTTTTCTTAAATGCCATGATAATTTTGGCACGGAGAGTACTACCCTGTGCAGATTAATATACAACTACTCTGAGGAATTCTAAATAGAGGTTTATTTCATACAATGAAAAGCCTCTTTACTTGCACAGGTTTCAAACTGCTTCTTTGATAGCTCAGTAAATAGCACGGATCCATGATGCAAAGTATGCAACAGGCAAAACCATGGCTACAGTCCACTGTGCAAACAAGAATACGAGGACAAGGGCACAGTAAGATCTCTGAATGGTGCAATACCAGGAAGGTTTACTTTCTTGATGCCTGGGGAAGCTGTTTTGGACAGGAGGAACCTGCAGACCTGGCAACTAGCATTTCAGCATTCCTGGTAGCAGCCTCCTAGAAGAAACACTGGTAAGAGCAGTCTGAAGACATTTAACATAATTGTAAGTAAGAAGATGATAATGAGACAAGATCTCACCCCTCAAATATATAAAAGAGGGATATATATAATAAGTATATACATCTAAGTATATAATAATTACCAAGCCCATTTTGGCCACAAGCTTTTTGTTTGGTGATGCTGGGAGCCCAGATGGTAAACAAGAGAAGTTGGAGATAACACAGTATGATCAGATAAACATCAAACTTAATATTTCTGAGCTCTGGATGTATCTGTATGATACAACATAGTGCCACAACGAGGGAGGAGAAAGAGCCAACAAAATCTGTTTGTTACCAGGGGTAATATACCTGCTTCTCACCAGGTAAGTCCAGGCACAGCTCTTTATTATTAGGTAATAAGATCTAACTTCCAAAACCATCCGAAAGTAATAACGTTTTTTTCAAAAACCAGAACACATTTGCAGAGAGTAACAGTGAGTCACTGTTACTCTCACTGTGGTTAAAAAAGAGACAAGCATGTGAAGTTCAAATTATGTATTATGGAACAAAAAGTGACACTAAGTAAACAGAAGTGTAGGTATAAGAAAGTGTAGTATAAGAAAACCCCAAAGAATGAACGAAATGGCAACAGTCAGCAGAATTACAGAAAATACAGTCACTTTGAAAACCACCAGTTACAAAGTTCAGTAGAGTCTAGCTCAACTGCTAAATAAAGATGTCACACAGTAAAACACTATGCCCTGAAAACAGGAAAAAAAGGTGTCAATTTTAGTATTCAAGTATACATTTTTAGGTATTCATGTTTCTCAAGAAAGAAAATGCAAAGCAGTACAGCACATTCCTGAGGACTAAAAAGTACTGTCTCGTGGCCCAGAAATGGCCCCTCAGCTGTCAGCTGGCCACCCCTGACCTAGACCAAGCATAAAACATTTGCTTGCAGATGACACAGTGCTGAGGTGGTGAATCAGGAGGAAAACAGGTTACTGTTACAGAATGAGCCACAGCACGTCGCTTTAACAGACACGATCTAAGAAATGCAATTTGATGGAGACAGGAGGGAGGCAATACTTTCGGGAACAAAAAATGCAGGTTTCACCTATGTAGAATGTGTTGAGAATTTGGGGGACCATCATAAGGGTTTCCGTGTGACACTGGCACCAAAAGAACCAAGGCAACCCACAGATTGGAAGAAAAATTACAAGCAGAATTTGGCTCTACACAGCTTCGGTGCAGTCACTGTTAAATCACTGTCTCTGGTTACTCCGTTCACATTTCTAGGAGGAGGTTACAGCAATGGAGTTTAAGACAGATCCAAAAAAGGGACTGATGGACTGAAACCCAAATGTTGAGATGGATAAAGAACCTCAGCCTATTCAGCTTACTGGAAGTTACATAAAAGCTATCTTGAAACAAGATTTTGTAGTCTAACAGGAAGGAAAAGCAGTGTGACAGCTGTGCCAGGGGAAAGAGTAGTCTGCATGGAAATCTTTGAAATAAAACCAGATGTCTTTCTCCAATGCAGTTTGTCAATTCAGGCTCCTAGGAAAAATTGGCTAGCATGGGTATACTGAGAAATCAGATCAGGTCATCACCTTTAAATCCCCTCTCTTTTCTTTTTTGATTTTACTATTGTTTTACTGCAGTAAATGTGTGCAACCTATTAACTTAGGAACTACAAATAAACAAAGTCTGCTATAACTGGGCCTAGCAACTGGGAATATCAGAGAAGGTGACAGATTTGGTAGTATCAAAATTACTTTGGGTCACCAGTATGTAGCAGCTGTAAAAGACAAATGTGATCTGCAGCTATATCTGTCAGAGTATTCCAAGAGAAACAGGGAAGAACTAGTGTCATGCACATGGCTCTGGTGCTTGGGAAACACTGATTCAAACTAGAACAGCTGCAGGAAAGGAAAGGGAATTTAAAGCCTAAGAGATCTAAAAACCATGGCTTGTTTGGCTTACAAGAAAAATACCACAAAATCCCAAACTAACCAATCCAACAATCTCAAACTAACAAAAAAAAAATATGTTGATTTTCTAAAATATAAGAAAAGAGCTATTTAAGGTAAAGGACAAACTGGGAAAAATGACTACTCTTGTTATCAAATTCAGGCTGGAAAAAAGTAATACATTAACGAGCCATCAACAAAAAATACATTATGGTATTCTTCTGACACCATAATGTTCCAGCTTTAAACTGGAACATTACAGTATCAGAAAAAAGTTATAGCAAGAGATGTCCATCTCAGGAGATGTTACCTGAAGACACAAGAGGTACTTTCCTGCCAGTATTTCTAATAAAAGTCCATAATTTCAAGCCTGTGTTTTAGAACAAGTTGTGTTTTGAACAAGCTGAAGATCAGCTTTGAAACAAATACATGTTAATTAAGAGGATTTGTTTGTCAAACACTTATTAATGTACTGTGGGAGTTTAACTGCAGGTTGACAAACAGAAATGTTATTTTTTCTTATTTCAGATATCCTAAGTAACAGTATAAAATAAGAATGTGTGTAAATATTCTCTCAGCAGAACAGAACAGGTTACTTACCTATTGATTCAGCTACCTGTTTTATATGCACCACATTACAAAAAAATGTGCATTTAGTGCTTGTAAAGTTGCCACATGGATAGTTCTGAAAGCTGATTGAGTATTTATTGTCTGGGACTCCAAACACTGTGGCAGTTGAAGCATCTTCCAAACCCTGCCCATAGTGGCAGCTTTCACTCTTCTCTCTAGGAAGCAGCTGCTTGTCATCCAGTTCTAGCCTCCACTGCAGGGAAAACCAGCAACTGCAATCTTCTACAGACACTTACCTACTGAGCACAGGAGTCACCATCAGCACATGCTTCCCATGGAAGTCCAGGAGCTACCTACAGCACTCTCTACCTCACTGGTCACTTTGGCTATTCGAGTGCAGAGCTAAACCAAAGCCCTTTTAACATCATAATTTCTCAATACAGCTAGTAAGAAAAACATAATGCAGCGGACCTGAAAAACTGGTGGAAGTAAAAGCAAATCCTCTAGCTGTCATCTCACATCCTTAAATTCTCACCTGCTCAGGACCCATGGAGGACAACCCTGATGTAGGCACAGAGGTCGCTGAGGTCATGCTGATCTGCCCTGTCATCTGGTTCATGTTGTTCATACCACTTGTGTTGGTTGCCATGGATACACTGATGTTCATGTTATTGTTGTACATGCTGGTGCTTGCTTGCTGCCCAAAATGTGGTGGGGACTGTTGTGAAAACATGCTACAGCAAGGAATGGAAAAAGCAATGTGTCAGACTTAGAATGCTGAAGCCACTAAGAAACTTTTAAAAATATATCTTAAGCTAGAATTTGTATATACTGTCATTTATTCCAACTTCAAAGGAAAAACTAGTTTTCAACTGCATTAATATCTGAGGAGTAGATTTTCAAAATTTAAGGTCCCATGTCTGTGTACAAAAATGCATGCCTTTGTGTGTGAAACTGGCAGAGTACAAATCTGTGATGCATGTGCAAGAACAGCCAATTCACTGTCTAAAGGAGCTTTGTATATATTTTAAAGTAATGTTTGGAGGGAGAGGAAAACACCTTTAACCTCCAGTGTTAGCACAGCACAGGACTGTTGAGCTGAAATTGTAGACAGGGTAATAAACTTTCTTTTTTGCAAAATAGGTTATTTGAATATATGAAGACCAGATCTGGACATACAGTTATGGCAAGCGGGCTCACAAATATAGACATGCAATTGTGCAGAAATTTATCTACTAGGTCTTAGCATCAGGTATTGAAAATGTGGCACCGTAAGAAACAACATAAAGTCTAAGACAATTACCCTTTATGTTTCTTTAAGGTCATTTCTGAACAACTTAAGGAGGAGTAATTGTGGAAAACTTAATCCCAGATTTTATTCAGTCCAAGTGCTTTCTGGATAGTATCTTTCTTCCCATTAAGTTGAAAACCATATGAGAGACTTCTTAACATTTCCTAAAATGCACTTCACTGTTTACATATCAGTCTTTTTCTAGTCTTTGAGCAGGAATTATTACTGACAATGTATCTGTTTAGAAGATGTGCATTAGACTGAAATACCAGAAGGGCTGCTGTGTCTCTGTATCAGTGGCTGACTTTCCCTTCCCTGTGAAGCACTGCTCCCACAGCTGAGGACATATTTCAGGGTTAACACTCAACCTTGCCCTTGGGTACTCCGCTAGGCTATTGCTGTGCACTCGGAGACCTGGTGGAGTGCAACGGCAGTCTGGGCACAGGACCAAACCCAGAAAATCCCACCATTCTCTTCCTTCCCATTCCATGTCTTTTCAGGCCACCTCACCACCCCATTTTTAAGTTGTTATCTGGATGGCTGAAACAGTACACTACAGATCATTGTGCATACTCAGTGGCTTGTGTAAGCACATTTGACACATCTCTGCTGTAGAGCTGCAGTTTAGCAAAGCCAACCATTGCACTTATGGAGCTATCCCTGCTGTCATTTTTGGCAGAAGCCATGACAGTGGCAGCTATGCCTCCTGCAGATGCTTCAGGAAGACCGTGAGGATGAGGCATGGACAAAGATGAGGGTAAGAGATAAAACAGCTGCTTTAGAGGGAACTTTACTTGGATTAGCCTCATCAATAAAATACTGGTGTTTTGGGTTTATCAAATCTTTGTCAACTAGCAGGAAAAAGATTTGTTGCTGTGGTAGGACAATAAGCCTGAGAACTTCAGGATGACAAAAGCACTGTCCTAGAGACAGCTGTGTGCACCCCAGTGCCAACTGATAGAGGCTGTACCTGATAGCTCCTCCCATCTTCCAAAGAAAAGCTCAGATCACTGCCATCTGGAAGCTCATTGCTGCCTACTGATATTGTTCAACATCCAACCTATTTGATTTAGACAGACTGATTACTGGAGCTACACCCACTGGGGCAGGGGCCTCAGCTGAAAAGGTGACTGCATGCGTGAGGTACTGCTACGGTGCTGTCAGGCAATGACAGCTCTATGCTGACCCCCAGCATGTGCAAGCACTAATGGGCTGAACCTGGTTACACTCCAGCATTTAAAGTGGGAGGTGATAATCCAGTCACTGCAATTCCAGAGCAGGAGGGAATGCACAGGCTCTGGCTTAGCTGATCCAGCCATGTGGAAAGCAATGTGGGATGAAAGTCATATGCAGAAGAAATGCATCCACACAAACGTTAGGGGCTGGAGTTCACTGTGCAGCACAGGTGCTTCTTAAGGTTTTGATCATTATAACAAACAAAGCAATGCATTGCGTGGATGCAGGTCTTTTAGCTATGCACTCACTTTGCCTTGTATGAAGACAGAATTTAAACCAACTCATCAAGCCAAATTGAAAAGAAATCTCGTTTAGGAAACATAGTTAGCAACGAACAAACACGCAAACTGTTACCTAAAATGAGCCCATAAATAAGTGCAGACCCCATTACTCTGTGTGTTCATTTTGGTTTTCTTCTGGATTTACCTGTTACCACCCATATTCCCTTGTGCCCACCCATTCATCTCCGTAGAGGACTGATAGGCAGGATTAGCCTGAGACTGCTGAATCATGGGGCTTTGAGTGTGAGCCAGCCTTGGTGACATCAGTGGACTCTGAGGAGTGGTGGCCCCTGTGAAGCCTGGATCAGGCTGCTGACTGATACCTGAAGAAGAAAATGAGAAATTTACCCACTGTACATTCAGAGTTAAAACAAACCAAGAACTCATACCTGCTGATGTGTCTTTACACAGTCCTACTTTTACCATCTGGTAAGAGCAGATACCAAATTTAGAACTGGATGGACATAATTTGTTATATCAGCATGACTTTCACATAACATATCATTTAATATAACATAACTTATACAATAGGTATAGATAAAGAAACTGTATAACAATAACTGTATAGAGGTAACTGCCCAGAATAAAGTGGTTTGTGGCTTTGTAAAACAAAGAAAGGAAACTGTATGAATTATCATATTACACATTGGGTTAGGGGTAGGAAATGGAATGCTTTATTTAAAACTGACTTATATTACTTAAATTGAAGAGGTTTTTGTATAGTTCACTCAAAATTCAGAGTCCAACAAGCAAACACATACACATACATGTGTTCGTGTATGCGTACACATATTTATCTGCATATATCTATATATAAACAAACACTGCACTTCTGCTGCTGCTCAAAGAAAGAGCAGTGCTTGGAGAATAACTGGTACTAGAGCCAGGAAAATAGAACCTCCAAGGGGTCCAAACTGCCATGTTTCTCTCTGTTCCCAGGGAGCCAGGCAAGAGCCTGTGGACTAGGGGCTTGGGGAGGGCACCTGTGGGAGTAAGGCCCGACAAAACGCACGGAGGGGGAGTGGAACCAGTACCGTAGTTCGGAGGAAACGGGAACTGCTGTGCATTTGCCTGCGGGATGCGCGGGTTGCTCATGGTTGCTGGGATGCCACCGGTGGCCACCATGCTGGGGGTCATGCTCAGGCCTTGCCCTCGCATCATCAGCGTCCGCTGCTGCACCTGCTGCTGCTGCTGCTGCATCTGCCGCTGCCGCAGGTGCTGGCTCAGGATCTCCCGCTGCCTCTGCGCCAGCATCTGCGCGTTGATGGGGCCCTGGGGAAAGCCACCACCCCCCCATCAATGACCCTTCCAAGGCAACCCAGCCAGCAGAGGCATCTCCACTAGAGCAACCCCAAAGGTCCCAGCTTTCCCCCCCCTTATCATACAACTAGCAAAAAATATAAAGCAGGAGAGAATAATCTTGCTAATAGTTCTGCTGGGAAAGACTTCCAACAGTGCGAGAGTCAGTAACTGAAATAATACCAGTGTTTAAGGCTGCAGTGATTTGTATTTACGAATGGAGCAGCTCATTAAAAACATAGATCTTTAGGAAATGAGAAGCATGGTTAAAAATGCAGTTATATCAAATCTTTATTAAGCAATCATCCATCTCATGTAAAAATGGGAATGACTCTCAGAAATAAAACAGCAAAATACTCCTTATCACACAGATTGCAGTATTTGTATTGAAACTGCACTTTCCACACAGCATTACTATTGTAATGTTGGGGCAAGAAAGCAAAAAAGAAAGCTACTTTCTTTTGTAAAAGGTATTATTTTTCTCACCTGTGTTGGCACTCCAGTTCTCAAAGACAGATTCATATTGGAGACGCTGCTGATCTGATTTATCAGTGGCTGCCGATTCTAAAGAGAACAAAAACCAAACCACCCCAACACCAAAACCCAACAGTTTTTAGAAGGAAAGGGAAAAAAAGAAGTGTTACATACAGAGTCATACAGATCTACTTCCCTGATCAGCTGGTCTGTAGACCTAGCTCTACATATCCAAGCAGTGACTAATTTTCCTCCTCAAATCCTACTAACCATTCACAGAATGCTGTTTCTTAAAGAGATAATACAGCATTAAAATAACAACACAGGCACTACAGTGTTTATACCAAACATGCTTCCTTCATAGTTCCTATCCTTTTTCATTTTGGGACTGGACTGTTGAGGTTCACTCCAAATTAGATGACTGAAGGCAGAAATTATCTTTCCTCCTTAATTACAAAAAGCACTGATAGCTCACTGATAGTACTACGAACCTACGTACTTAAAAACAAAACTACAACTTAATTCTCAGAAGCAGAGCAAGGCCAAGGGAAAAAAAAAAGTATGTAGGATGTAGGTAACAAGCAGCAATAAAAGCAGTTAGATTGGCAGAAGAGTCAAAATGCAACAAATAGAAAAAAGACGTTGACAACAAAAGGCACCTTGCTCAAAGACTTAGTGAGATCTAGGCTTAAATAACGGTCATGTCCTTGCATCGTATGATACAAAAAGTAATGTGAAGATGACAAAAAAGGTTTAAAAAGAGAACATGCAAGGCACTATGTTGTCAAAACTCATAGTGGCTCCTGGTAAATTTTAGCTTGTAAGTGGAACGAAGCAAGACCCGGTCTATTCGGAGCAAGCTAACGCTTGCTCCGAATAGACCGGGTCTTGCTTCGTTCCACTTTGAAGTGGGTGTGAGAGAGCCGGGCAGTACCTGCTGTGCCTGGAGCCGGTGCTGCAGCTGGAGCCGCAGCTGGTTGGGCTGGTTCTGCACGATGCCGGCGGGCCGCAGGCCGGGCCGGGGCTGCATGCGCAGCGCGGTGTAGCCCGGGCGCTGCCCCATGGCGTGGAAGCCGGGGTCCTGCATGGGCGCGTAGCTGCCCTGAGCCATCTGCGCCTGAGCCGCGTACTGCTGCGAGAACACCGGAGCCTTCTGCTCCATCAGCATGCTGGACTCCTGGCTCGGGAAGGTCTCGGGGTCGACAGCTTGGCTCTGCAGAAACACACCAACAATAGGAACAGTTGGTGGGGGACGCGGCTTTCCGGAGGATTATACGGGACTAAGACGGACAGCCTGCAAAAACAACCTTCTAGGATGGGAGTGTTTTGAAGCAGAAAATTACGTTAGCTTTCTTTACCTCAATATAAACCTTCAAAATAAGCAGAATTGTAGTACTTGAGTATCAAAATATATTCACCGAGACAAACTCCTCCTCCTCTCTCTTTTTCTTTGCTTTTTATACAAAACCCTACAATCTTTCTTGTGTTCTTTACACAGACACCGTATTACTCTTCTAATGAATAAAAACCTGAAACGACGAATGCTAGATGAAAATCTGTAAATGAAGTGATGTCAGCGTATTTTTGCTATTGAATCTGAGATAAATTCAAATGTATTACAAATGAATAAGTAGATTTTTATCAGTATCTTTAAACGAAATAATGACTTCAAATAAAGATGCCTGAAACCACTACAGAAGCTAATGTGAACAGAGTGCCTAATTCTTTCAGGGTGCTTTTGCACTAACTGATTATCCATTAGTATAAATAAACTAACACAATTCTAAATTCCATTCTAGATACTCCCCTAATATTTGCTCTAGCCAGAGTAATTTTATAGCTTGTTCCACACTGACCTTGAAAATGAAGTTAATCTAAATTTCAGTGCCCTCATGAAAGTCTTTAAGCTGTTGTAAAAAATGTTCGAAGGCTATTTGAAAAAACATGTTTTAAAATGAAGCAGTTCTCTTATCTGAAAGATCCTCTAACTGTTTCCACTGAATTATTAATTACATAGAAACGTATTTACTGCTTAGTTTGAAATAAACCATTATTCATAATTTTTGGTGATGGCATTCCAAAACCTATATAATATTGCATGGAAGTTTCACACCGCAAAATTGAAGTTCACCAATAAATTGTATCTCCAGCTCTACACCTCACTGACTCCTGTGTTGTACCAAATAGGCTTGGAGATAGCTTTCTCATGTTCAAAGCAGAATTTCATTGGTCCTATTTCATATCTAAAATGCAGAGCTAGTTCAGAAGTTATGCTCAGGGTGCTGATGAGTGCTGGGGAATGAAATGGGTATTGCAGGCCCCTCTGAGAATATTAAGTCGTTCTACAAACATATACTGATTTTGGAAATAAAATTCTGATGCCAGAAATGTCAGGAATTAGCTTTTACTTGAAATACTTTTATTTTTATCACCCCCCCCTTTTTTTTTGCACCAGGTAAGTCTAAAACAGGCAAGAACCACATGGAAGTCAACAAAAATAACTATGGGGAAAAATAGATGAAAAAGCATAGAACAAAGTGTGGCAAGCACGCTTGTAATTTATAAAAAAAAATTACAGTTTAAGTGCTTGGAATGAAATCAGCTGCCTCAGATAAAACTCATCCCTTAACACATTAATCAACTAAGGAAAAAAACACGGGTGAATTTACACATCTCAGGTTTGCTAATCCAAAAGCCTGTTGTCCCTATCACACTCAACTCCTGATCCTGCTCCTAGGTCATCATGCTCTTATTTTCCTCTTTCCTATACTCTGTTGCTGGCCACCATCTTACCTTTGTCCCCCTACAGTTGTTCCTCTGACCACCATTTTTTTGTTTTGGTCAGTTTAGTTGCATAAAGCAGGTCAGAAGAAGGAGATCTAGGTGAGGGTGGCAGGGGAGAGGAAGGAAGACTAAACCAGGGGCTGAGGGAAGGTTTTCAGGTGACACTGAGCCATTACATGGACCTCCACCATCCTAGCTTGCAATAAGTGTTTTATAATTCCCTTCTTCAACTCCACCTTGACAACGTATCTTATAAAAGCAGTATCTAATACATGCAAAATACCATGTCCAGTATACCTGGCTCACTAGTTCTGGTATTCCTAGAGCCCTGTCGATTTCTTCTAAACCATCAAAATTCCTTAATGCCATGTAAAGCTGATCCAGGAGAGCACCCTCATCACTTGGTGACTCTGATGAAGGATGATTACACAAGAGATCATCTGGTGAGCTGCCAAACGGTTGCCTGTGAAAACATGAACACAGGGTTGATTGGTAAACAGTTGCTGGAAAACATGAAATAATATCAGAGGATTAGTACTCAAACTGAACTAACAAGTAGAGACAGAAGTAATTTTAATCGCTGCCAATTTTGTTTAGAAAGTTATTCAGGATGGAAGTTACGCCACCCAAAGAAGTAACTACACAGTGTGATTCATGTGATGTCAAGACCCTACAAGTGTGGTACATCTGACAAGAAAGAAAGCCCACCAGAGGTAGCCTGAGCACTGACTGCATATTACAGTGTCAGCAGAGGAAGAGAGAAGTCAGTATAGAATATAGTCACTGAAGACAGAAAGCTAAGTAACTGTTTTTTAAAAATTAGTTTTAACTTTGAATGTCCCACATCAGATCAAGTATACTATCACAAGTAGTCCTCATTTTCATAGGCTCTCCCCTTAGCTGGTTTTCTATCAGGCTAAACAAGTAAAAGAGGTCACAGACAGGTCCGTGGATTGTCTGAGCTCACACAAACTGAACATCTGGAAGAGCTGGGCAGAAGCACGAGGGATCAGGGAGAAAAGGACATTCCCCTTTTTGTTTGCAGCAAAACACTGCATCAGCTCACCCTAAATGCACACTTGGGTACCAGTTTATACACTTGTTTATGCCTTGGAAGGACATCATCAAGAATTTGGGTACTGTCAGGCAGCATGTGATGGCTCTATAAATCCTGCTTACCTCACCCCTGAATTTGTATGCGAAGCACACTCGCAGTTACAAAGGCAGAATAAAGGCTTATTATAAACCCAAAGGACAAAACTTCCTGAGAAGCAAACTAAATCTGAAATAACACCTTATCTGCAGCCAAATGACATGTTTTTGCTCTGCTGTTCACACACTTGCCCTGCTTCACACACGCTACCACAAAACTGCAATAGAAAATATAAAGAGCAGAGCATTCTGCAGGCAAGGGCAGCTACAATATGCACATCATGGAAGAATCCCATCCCAGGTAATTACTCAGAGACAACAAAAGCTGTCACCCGTGGAGGGAGGAAAAGCACTATATGTGAACCCTTTTTACATGTCTGTTTAGGAAAAACAAAGAAACATGTTTGTGTATTTAGTTTCCATAATGAGATATATGGTTGCCATGGAAGTCTAATCTCTATGTCAAAGCTAAGCAGGAGAGCTGCATCGTCAGGCTACACACTGAATGAACTCAAAGGATGGCAGGCAGGAAAACTAATAAAAATATATTCTTTTTAATTGGATCCCAGACAGTTAAAAAAAAATATGACACACCTTTAAAACATTGCACAGTATTAATCAAACTCATATATAGTGAAATTTCTTTAACTCTCACAGATGAAATTATAAATCAGCAAAAGGGAAGAGAAAAAAAAAATCCTTTGATTAAAATTGCTTACATACTCTAAAGTCTAAAGATGACTTATAAGAAGGGATCTATTATATGGAAAAACAATTGATGAGGCTAGCAAAAACCTCTCCCTGAAATTGCAAATGAGCATGAACACACATGATAAAAAACACTAAAACATTTGTCAAATTCTGTATATTAAAAAAAAAAATTAGTTACAATTTCTCCATTTCTTTTATACACCCCAGTGACAATTTTAATTTTTAGTATAAGAATTTTTTTTACTCAATTAATATATGGCAACAATCAGATTATAAAAATACCAATCTTGGGGATTAATAAAGCAAGAAATGGCAGCATCAACCAATTAATCATCTCCAGCTGGGGTGTAAATGATCAAAATATTGTTACTTTCAGATGCAATGCAATGGGAAATTTTTACACCATCTTCAGCTATAAGGAAATTATAAGAAATGCAAAGGTAAAAGAAATGGAAGAATTAACTGCCTGGCTTGCTGACCAGACATGATCCTGTATTTTCTTTTAAGGTGTAATTTTTGAAGTGAATAATTATACAAACAGTGCATTTTGCGTATGGACATGCTAATTAAGGGAAACACCAGGAAACAGCTTGAAAAGCATGGAATGTAACAAAGAAAATGCCACCTATATTTATGGATAATATTTTCTGACATGCTAATGAAAACTAAGAGATGATTCAGAAGATTGACATTTTTTCAAGCATACTTTTTTTCCAAATGTATCCATTTTCTTTTCAGTGATCCTCCAATTTACTACCTACACAGCTGAAAATATTTCAACATTTTGCACTTGCTTGTCCATTTTGCATTCCTTAGACATTCCATATATACACAGTCTCTCTAAAGTAAGCTGCAAACCTTTTGGAGAAGACACGGCTCTTTTTAAAGAAGTGCAAGCTGCTTATAACAGTTGTGCCATCATTTAAAAGTCTTGATGATTAATGAAGTTATTAATACAATACATAGGAGTTAATGACTTGTGACCAAACTGCAGCTCTGATTACCTGAGGAGGAGCTAACTTCAGGGAAGAGGCAGCCTTCCTTTCACTTCATCTTTCCTTCCTCCTCTTTTACAGAATTTAGGTCAATTAAAAAAACCCAAACAACATAATTAACCATGTCCTACATCACTTAAAATGCTACCCCGCTGCAGGAAGGGACAGATATTATGACTACACAGTCGTGGCTAGTACTACTGGCACTCTTCCACAATTAGTGTTAAGTGTAATTGTTAACAATGAGAACAGCAGAATCAGACAGAATCATGCCCATGTTAACGCTCCAGAGGTGAAAAATGGTGCAACTATACCTCAAGTGCTGGCAGCATTCACTGTGATACAGAACTTTCAATTCATTCAGCACATTACGTGGCAAAGAGAGCATTTATAAGTATTACTGGAACATATATTTCATGAGCACAATAGCATACAAAAATTAAATTGATGTACACATTTGGTGAATGTTTTATGCAGAACTTTGTTTCCATGAGGTGTATAAATTATAGGCCTGCAAAATCTCTCTGTGTTGTGATGTGACACCAAGACTCACCTGTTCTGATTACCGAAAGTTGCCTGTTCTATAGGCAAGATGCTGTCTGGCCACGGTGCAGTCTGATTTGGAGGTGCCTGCTGTTGGCTATACTGAGGCCCTCCTATGTTCATTTCCAATTCAGATGGCCCTAATCAAGAAAAAATAACCATATAACTTTTCTGAAGAGAAGCTTTAACTTTATGTCAATTCTTTCAACTAAATGTTAATTCTTTCAATTGAGCTACCTACATTATGGTAAAAGCAAACAAAAGCATTAAGCCTTCAGCAACATTACAATTAAAGTATCATTATTCTTTTGTTAAAATCTGCTTTTAAATTTTGAGGAAACACGAGTATTCTGGAAGTGGTTCAAAATTATAAAATAGCAGACACAACATTGTAGATGCAAAAATGAATAAGACAAGCATAATAAAAGGACTGTACATAGAGTCAGTATTATAATGCACTTGCTGTAGAAGTGACCAGGAACAATTATCATTCCACAGGATTTGACTTCCTCTAAAAAAAGTCACAGTCTTTAGTGAACCAAGGCAACTTCATGTACTTTTTCTTTAGCCACACAACCATGGAGCTACATAACAGCAAGAACCGTCCATCTCAAAATGTGTGTTAAAATTTAGTGTTTCAGACATCTTCTTTCCTATGTCCGCAGGAAAATTTCACTGTGAAATATGGTTCTTATCAAATCTATAAATGAAGCGAGGATTTTTTACCTTCTTTTTTGCCTCCTGCTTTATCTTTAACAATCCAGCGTGCACCAAAAGGAACTTACCCATATTCATGACCTGAGATGGAAGCATCTGCCTTGGGCCAGGCTGGCTGCTGGGTCTCAAGGGGATGCTGGCCGTGGGGTTGCGGATCATGCCTGCTTGCACCGGCCGGTTCATGGTGCCAGCTGTGGGTGCACAGGTCACCCTCACCGCGGGGGCCTGGCTGCCCCAGTCTCCAGATGCCATGGCAGGCCGAGGGGCATTGCCACCAATCATTCCTGCACAAAAGCCAAACACGCTCAGGTACCAGCACATGAGCAGAACAGCCTTAACGCTAGTGCTGCCTGAGAGGAGCTGCGTTTTCAGCAATACCAATGCAGTAGTTTCCCTCAAAGCACACTGTAGCACCACAACTGCCCATCCAGATGAGCAAAGCTGCAGAATGATGCCTTACAGCTGCTTAGTCAAGGGACTGGAGACTGTGATACATCTTACAAGAGGAAGATCCTTTTATCATTTCTGAAATGCTGTTCAGAGTAAGTGTTCCCATATGTAGTCTGCAACAGGTGCTGAGGGTGTGTGGATAGCCTTAACTTCCTTCCTCAGGAAATGAATCACGTTTGCTGATGTGTGTCAGTGCTTTACTTTCCAAGTGCTAAGTGAGAATGGAGACTTGAGCAACAACGTGTTAACACCAAACACACTTACAAATTAGAAGGACTGAGTATCTATTCGTGTTCTGCAAACATCTTTTGGCGACTTCTTTCACTTGGAACCTAGAGCCTTCGGAGCTTCGAGGCCCACCCAGACAATCTCAGACCAATGTACAGTGCAGGGAAATTACTCACAGGAACTTTCCGATAGATGCTGAAGTTCATTACCGTTATTATAGGGGAAGTCCTCCCACATCTACTGTAAACAACTGATACGTTTTATTTACACTTGGAATATATAGAATACTACACTCTAACAGTAGCCAAAAAGCCTCAAGCAAAACCCAACACAAAATCCCCCAAGCCCCAAACATGGCATTCACAGTATTTATACATTTCAATTTTATATCAGTCAAGAGAGTAGTTAAAACACTGATTTCAGGCTGGAATACTGGTTCAGATTGATCTTTTCAGTTGAATTATGCAACATCCCTAAATTAATACTAAAAGCCACACAAACAGTTATTACTTATCAGTTCAATTATTTGGTGACATATAACCAGAGAAAAACCCTCTGAAGAGGGTCCTTGTTTCAGCTGCTGTACAAAATTCGCTTTAGTGTTAGTTACATCCTCAGGTTCAGTCCATTTGTGTGCATATTCTATCAGCTGAAAGATGTGCCATGCTAGAGCAAGCCAGGGACACAATAATATTCTCTAACTTGTATACATAAGATGAGTAAAATCCTCTAATATGTATACAGAGCATGAAAGTAAGAGGACACTTGAAAGAATATAAGTTGATCTCTAAACTGCTTAAATAAAATATTTCAGTGTCTGGCTGCATTAATACTGATGCCAACTAAATACAGACATTTGACACCAAATAGACAGCTGAGAGGATTTACAACGCCTGTTTATTTACTCAGAGCTCTTACTGTGGTTGTTGCACACTCGCACAATCTTAGACTATGCACTAGTTGAAATAAATCCATCAGCCAGACTTTTCTTGTCAAACAGGCTATGTTTGTTCATTATTAGGTGAACACGTTGTTAACTGCAACATCTGATGGTTCCCAAAAAGGAGCTAAGGCTACTAAATAAAGGATAAGGATAATAAAGGAGGGTAAAGCCAACATCATAAGGGCAGCAGTACTGCCCATGATTTTCTTCTGAATGACCCATCTCTATTGTAGGCACAAAGCAGTGCATAAAAGGCAGGACTGAAAATATGCAGACACAGAAATTAGAAGAAAATATGCCAATATGTAATGTCCCACAAAACATGATTTCTTCCAGACTTTATGGAAAGTAACAATCTGCAATGTCAAGCTGCACATGCTATAGCCTGTTACTTATATAATAAGTATATTATTAAAAAAAAGGAACATCATCTTACCTGTGCTACTGTTGCCTAAAGTTCCTTGACTTCCTATCATCCCTTCATTCCTGCCCATCAGTCCCGGCTGAGGTATCACTGAGTAGGGGCTACTTGTTCTTATGGGTGGGAAAGTTCCTGCACCTGCTGGGTTCTGCAGTGTTATGTCAAGTGGTAAATTCTGGTTTGGTAATAACCTGCCCAGTTGCCCTGCTCGTGGGTTATTAAAAGCTAGACAGGAGGAGCAAAAGAAAAAAAAAACAAAGTTACAAGAATGGAAACTTCACTAGGTAAAAAACCAAACAAACTAAAAAAACTAAAAGAAGAAAAGAACCCAGACACAATTGAAGCTCTCGGGCTCAGCTATTTAATGTTGCATAATTTACCCACTCCTTATCTGTCTGAGAAACATCCCTTCTTGACATTTAAATGTAAATTTCAAAATGGAACATTCTGACACTAGACAAACCAGATATCATGTATATTTAAAAAAAACTTTAAAAGATGCAATTTAACTGACAGAAGAGTCACTACAGCAAAATACACCACTATGTGATGTGCATACTATTGCCAATTAATCTTACACCTAGTAGGACTGTAATTGCAAGCAGATGCCATCCTGAGGCAGATTGTTAGGAATTATCTCAGTTTGGAAAGTTTTCCAGCATAAGCTGTGCCCCTGAAGAAGTTTTCAATAGTAAGGACAGACAGACTATACTGGATTCCACACCCCCATTTCAAAATGTTCCTCTTAATTTTTTCGTTTTTTACATTTTTTGTCATTAATGAAGCAAAATACTTCCATGATTCAGCAACAACAAAAAAATCAGTCCAGAAACAGAGCTGTGCCACCATAATTCTGGTAATTTTACCATAATTCTGGTAAAAAAGAACCATCCTTGATGGTTACTGCTACCTTTATGTAACTACTTTCTTCTGGGTTGTGCTTTTAAAATCAGCCTCTGCAAATAAAACAGCAGACTGCCTCAGCAAAGTGAGCTTCAGACTGTGACTGGCAAAGCATCTGGCTCAGCTGGTCTTTGGGCAATGTTCCAATGCATGAAAGCATCCTCTGTGTGCTCAACAAGTTCTCAAACATGAATCAAACACTGACCTTGTAGCTTTGATTCCATTTCCAATCATACCCATAAAATACATGCAAGTAAATTAAACATTTTTGTGAAAGTATTACTTGCAGTACTTTCTGATAGCTTCCCCTAAGAGTGGCTCTGATATAACAGCATCCTTCCAGCAACTTCTGCATTTTTGTGCTCTTCACATTAGTGAGAAGTTAAATTAATACCTTCTTATTTTAGGTTGAAGTAGGGCTACTTTTGAATCTGAAAACTTAGATGAAGTTTAGTAAGTTCGTTAAAACGCACAGAAATATCTCCTAATAGACGTCTCTGACTTTTATTTTTATTTATATCCAGACTACAGGAACTTACTGTATTTATTTTTTAATATAAGTTCTCTGCCAGGTGAATTTGCTTATATGTGTGTACAGAAAAGGTATCACATCACATACACCTAATTCCTAACTATAAGATTTAAGTTTTGTCTTGTCAGTCTGTTCAACTAAGCAAACAAAACTTACTTATGAAGCAAAAATTACTTTCTCGAGATTAGGGGCATCACAAAATCTAAGGACTGAAGCAAAATTAAACTTCAGTGACAGTTTCAGAACGGTTTGATCCAGAAGTCTGACACATCTCATGAGTTCCTGTATGTGCAGCTATGCCAGCACCCACTAAGGAAAAAGAATACATAAAGGAATACAAAAAGGAATTCTGGAAAGTGGTATAAAATAACAACACAGCTGATGTGCTGTGGTGGTGATGAGATCACATCACCTCCTGTTTATTCTACTCTTTATCAGGATGGGACTGAAGGAGGCTCCCTATCCCCCATGTAACAGACTCCAGCAATTTGGCAGATCTAGCAGCCTTTCTATTTTTCAACAGACAAAAATATTTGTCTGCTGAAAATAAATGTAATCCACTAAAACTTTTAAAATTAAAGCTGGTTATTTCTTCAGAAAAAAAAAAAAAACAGTAAAAAAATCCAAATCTCTTTTGGAATTGTATATGATTTGACATTCATTCTACATTGCTTTCCTGTGAACATATGAGAGGCCCCTCACTATTTCTGTGGACCTGTTTTCTATATGCTCTTCTACTGAACACAAGGCACAAGTTCTTAGGGGGCATCAGGCACCCAGACAAAAGGGGGAAAATATTTTAGGGTTTTAATTTAGACGGGAAACAGGATGCTGCCTTTACAGAACTGCTGCTAATCACCAAGCCACTCTCATTTACAGTCATACTGTTACTGTGTACTGCCAGCAGCTCTGAAAGCAGATTTAAAGCTAGGTTACCCCTAGAAAGCCAAAAGGCAGGAAGGAACACAGAGACCTTGCTTCAGGAAGAATATGCTGGAGACTTCATATACACAGGGATTTCCTTCTGACTTTGGAGGCACTGCTGCTAGTACCTCTATACTCACAAAAGCAAGTACATTAAACCCAAGCATCCTTCTCTAAGCAACATGGATATCAATTAATAATTTAAGAATCTGAAGTGACCTTAATATGAATTTAAATACCAATATTTATTGATAGAATATTAGAATTTATCTAAATATTTCTAAGTAATTTGAATGAATTTGAAAGTGGCTCAGTGTTAGTTTAATTTTATCAGAATGGCTAAAAATAATATTTAAGCTTTATGTTTCACAAGAAAAAAAACCTAGAGCACATCTAAGCAAGTAAATAGATGCGGCCATCCTAGCCAATAGCCAAATTGAAGCAGTGTTTTTTTTATACTATTTTATTCAACATTAGTACTCAATAAGACTGTCTTGCTTGCTTTCCATTATACTATGATGGCAAACCAACATTTCAATGCTGATTTGTAAGCTGATTAATACGGTTAAGGAAAGCTGTCAGCTGGAAGTGACTCAACTAAAAGCCACAATCTCAAATTAAAGTTGGGCATTCTTAATCTTCTGTCTTTCTATTAATCTTGTGGTTTTAGAAGACTCTACTTTGTGCTTAGAAAAGCTTCCCTTGCACCTTTTGCTGCAAGAGCTGCCAGAAAGGGAAGATCTGCATGGCAAAAAATGCACGTGCTCTCCACGCCAAAACGCTGCCAACCGGCAGTGTCACACATCACCACACGAGGGGATGTTCGATGTGGGGGCACCCTGAAAAGCTCTCCAGGACACGGGCTCCAGGGAGCGTGACCGGGCACAGCTCCGCTGTGTTTGGAGCCGGGACGACCGCAGATGGCGCTCGGCGACCGCGCAGCGCCCGGAGCTGCCCAGCTCCTCCCCGGCCGGCCCGGGGCTCCGAGCTCGGCGTGCACTCACTGCTCTGGGAAATCCTCATCGCTGGTTTCTGGCTGGCCACTGCCGCGCCGGGGCTGCTGTCACTCGTGAGCTGCATGAGGTCATTGATGATGGCTTGCTTGTCGACCGAGCCTGCTGGCACGCCTGGGCGGCTATCTGGGAAAAGCTGCGGTAACTGGCTGTTCTGCAGGTCATCCAGAATCTCCTCCAAGTTATCCAACTCGCTGCCCGGCTGCAACAAAGAACACACAAGCCCACAGTACAGGTCGCTGCTCGCCTGCTGTTGGTGTCCTGCTTGTGCCAAGCCAGGCAGCCCCAGTGTCACACCCGTACCCGCCCTGGATGTGGCTGGCACCGTGCCTGATGAGGAGGAAGCTCACAAACCTGTTGGAAGGGGGCTGTGCAGGGCTCCCAGGGCTAGCCTGCCTTGCTTTTGGGGAGCCCAGTGTGCCACTGACACCCCTTCAAAAGCCCCGTGTCGGGACCGTGACTCCATACTCTGGGCAACAGGGATATCATTCCCTGCGCAATCTGATCAGTGCTGACAGCAGGGATAAGAGCAGATCCAGGAGTGCTGAAGATGGGGGTTTATGTACCTATTACCAATATTTCTTTCAGCACAGTTGTATTTCTAGTCTCTTTATGACTTGATTAAAATCGTACAATCGAAAAGTTGCTTCACGGTTATAACAATTCCCCATATGCCTTTTCTTTGTTATATTCATAACCTGAACACTCTACATAAGTTAACTGGCAAGATATATAGATAGATATATATATATATATATATATATATATAGGATTGGGAATTAATTTTGCTCCCAACTTCCCAAACCATTGAAAATAACTTCCCTAGAGTATGAAAAGTGAAATCTACATATGAATTTACATTTAAATTCAATAGAAAATTATCATGACATAAAGATGGGAGAAAAATTAAGGTCACCTTACACTAACATAATTACTGACCTGCTTGTTTTTCTTAAATATATTGATTGTCACTGGTATTCTCTTTTGTCAGCTTCTCTGTCTAAAACCTCTCAGAACTAAAATAATTTTCTGACTGAAAGGCGGAAATCTTCCCAAGTATATTCTCCAATCCTAAACTCTTGTTTAGGGTAAAACTTGGGTAATAATTAAGAACAGGGCATCCAGTTTCAGTTTACTACCATCTTGAAGAGTAGATATATAGTAACAGCATTTATAACAAATACCTACTCAAAATCAGCGTCTTCATTAGGAAATGTGCAATGACAGAGGAGCGGCAGAGTGAGCAGCCACTCGTGAAGGATGGAGAACTGAGAAACGCCACCACCAACGTGCAGAACTGAAATACAGTTCTTCCTGGGCTTTTTTTTTTCCCCCTTCCCCACATCATGAACTCCTTACTGAGAACAAGTTTATGCCACAGATCACAGGATACTGTAGAAATACCTGAAATGGCTTTAAAATACCTACTGAGGCTCTTCCAGGCTAGCTAGGAAGCACTGCACATTAGTCTGTACAGAACTGCCATCATATCTAACCTGCTCCTGGGAAGTCCAGCTACTTTATTCAAAGGTAGCTAAAATGCCCCCAAGGTTACATTGGTACTTGCTTTTTTTGGGTGACTGACTGCAAATAATCACGGTATTATTTTCTATTCCTTCTACATCATCTCCCAGTCATATAAATTGTAGTATATGGTGCAAAAGAGGAGGGAATTCACTCCATTAAAAGGCAGCATGTGGGTGATCTAGAGGCTGGTGTTACTGTCAAAATGGTAGGAAATCAGAGAATCAGAGGACTGGAAGAAATTTAAAGCCTCCAGGCAAAATCAGTGTATGCCATTCCCCATGGAAGTTCATACAGTTGCTTGTTAAAAACATCCAGAGACAGAAAATCCACAGCTTCCCTGGAGAATTGGTTTCAGCACTCTGCCATCCTTACTACTCTTTTTTTTTTTCAGCTCAGTCTCAATGCAAAATCTCTCACATTGAGATTTAGACCCTTCCTTCCAATCATATTTTGAATCTGGAGAACATACTGTGTTGCTCTTTCTTTTTTTAACTTTTTCTGCACTTGAAAACAAAAGTGCCATTTTGTGTTTTTAAGCTGAAATTAATAAACAATCTCAACTTGTGAATTTTCTTCAGCAAATAACCTGTTTTCTAGGCCTCTTCTCGCTCCTGTGGATTGCTTTCAGTTGATCGATCCACACTTCTGCTGAAGCCATGTCCAAGACTGGACTTAAAATGAGTCCTGGAAACTTAAAATGAAGGACTTAAAATGAAGCCTTACAGCTGCTGGGTAAAGCAGAAACTTTACGCTACACATAGCACGCTTTGATGGCATATTCCACAAAAGCATGTGATTCTTTTAATTACATGACATTACTGACTCTCACTCATCTTGTCGTCACTATGATCCCTACAACAGCTCTGAAAAACTCCTATTTAGTCAGTTTTCCCCTCATTTTTTTTAAAATATGAGACATTTTTCTTGAGTAATGACAATAAATAGCATTTATTCACCCTGAATGTTCTAACACTTTGTCTCTATCTCTTCGTTGCAGCTGAATTTGAATTGTGTCCTCCACTGTGTTTGCAGACATTCAAGTGTCACACTCAGCTTTACCAAGCTCTTTTGTCATGTCAGGTCATTTAGGTTAACTAAAACACTGAGCAGCTCTAGATGCTGCACGAATCCTTCAGCAACTCCACTTTGACAGCGAGTCCTCCAGTAACCACTGTGTGTGGAGGGATTTCCAAACAGCTTCCTCACCACTCACAACAGCTTCATCTTGACCATGCACCTCTACCCTGCCATAAGGATAAAGGCCAAAGAGCCTGACTCAAATCTAAACACCCTGACACACTGTTTCTCTTATGCCAACAATCCTGCTACCCTCTTGCTGAGGGAAAACAGGCTGGCTGCTCCAAGATTACCTGTTCCTGACAAATCCCTCTGATGACTCACTGCTTTCCAGGCAATTACAAGCAGCTGGGTGGACCCAGCATACAGTAGAAAAGCTTGAGCCAGAAGGAATCAAATGTGATTATATGAAGCCTAAATCACTGCATGGACAGGTGATAAGCAGATTCAAAAAGGAGCTCCAAGAGACAGCCATGAGTGATGTTTATAGGAGCTGCAGTTTGAGCGATGGGAGATCTGCTACAAGAAGACTACAAGAGCCAGGAGAAGAGACTGATATAGAGCATCATAAATTACAGAAGGATGATTCAGTACTCTTTGGGGGAATTAAGACATATGGCCTTCATTATATGTATCTGAGACAACAGAGAAGGGAAGTTTTATATGTTGCAGGGGGTTTTTTTTGGTTGGTTTTATGAGGGGTTTTGTATCATCTTTTCTTTTAGCGTTCTGGCTACTGCAATTCTTTGTTCAAACACTAGATATTTAAAAAAAACCAAAACACAAAAAAACCCTCAAAACCAAACCTAAAAAAACACCAGTGAAGAACATATTGATCCAAATGTGTCAGAAAACTGCACTCCCTAAGATGTTTTTAATTCCTCTCAGAAGTGGCAAAGCAAGGGCAAATACAACAGATGTATTACAACAACAGAAATACATAACCTTCTCCCTTTTTTTGTTTAATAATCAATATTAAAGATTTCATCTTTATATTTTTATAAGGGTTCTCAACTGCTACAAAAGCTCCAAGAGATTTGGAATTAACACCAACTTATGATGTTAAGCTAAGTCCTTCCAGACTCACCCTCAAATGGCGCCATATGTGCAGAAACCAGCATTAAAATATTTACTTGGTTAGTTTCATGGGATTTTTCTTTTATTTATATTCTATATTTATTTTGTTAATGGTCTAAATTGAATTTTATGTAAATAGAAGGCACACCCCTAAGCTCCCTGTGAAACAACCATTTGTCAGAAATTTTTTTTAAAAAGCACCTGATAAAGTACTCAGCATCAATAGAAAGTTCTTGTGTGGGTATTTTCACTATATCTAAGTAATGCAATTATGACAATCTCTGTAGAACTTGGACACTAAGTGCCAGAAGGAGTAAGACAAATAATTCTCAGGAATATTTTTGCATTTGAAAAAATACTTATTTTATACTGCCATATAGATGAAAGTTAAGAGCTTACAGAATTTTTTCGGCTGCACTGAAAGGCAGCTGCATTTCAACATGAAATTTGGTTTACAAAAGTTGCTGTTTCAAGGTCTAGCTTCCATGGATTGTAAAGGACTGGATAAGACACTCAAGTCTCTGGAAATCTCCTTCCTGCCATGGGCAATGGCCATGGCTTGCACTGTGACCCTGTATTCTAAGGACTTAAAACAGGATGACTTCTGGTGGGGACACAGCTTGAAACTACACCTGACTTGCATAAATTTGAAGTGAGCTCATCCTCTACCTCAGAAATATGGGCACAGCATTTGACCATAAGAGGCAAACGAAACCAAATCCCTGCTCCAAACTGGCAATAAATTAAAGGATTATGAAAAGAAGGGAAAAGGAAATTAGAAGTGGAACCAATACAGTATTTTTCTCCCTGGTAACTGCAATAAACATAAAATCGGCTAGAAATCCTATTAAATTATCAAGCTATTCTATGACTAACATTTGAAAACAGAACTCTAATTGAAAGACATTCAGAAAATGGAATCCCCATTCTAAGGTTTTGATAGAATTTCAAGAAGAAACAAATGTTCCTCATGAACTTAATGGATTCTGGACTATTAAACCAGAAATAGGTTTTTAAAAGATGAGTGGCATGTGTAGAGAAAATATGCTAGTATTGGGAAGATACTGGTTTGCACATAAAGCATGAGTACAGCAGAGTTGATAAAGTATGTGAGGAACATCAGAGCAGTTTCTGAGTTTTAGGACAAAAATGTACATACTTGAGATGATTTCTGGAACAGCATTTGTGCAGACTGTTGCACTGCAAAGGCCCTGTCAAACAGGCTATCTTTATGGTCTACTGAACAAAAAAGAGGAGAGTACACTTGTGGAGATTAGGATTTTATTCCACACTCCCCCAAGTGATTTCTCAGTGAACAAGCTACCTTAGCAAGGCAGTATCTAACATTGTTCATGATGTTTCTCCAGTGTTCCCCTGTACTTTCACTCTCCTTGCCCTCCAAGCTGTCAGCCAGTCCTTGCCACATCTGACCATCTCCTGATCACTACAGGGGCTGCTCCTGGCCGTGGACAGCCATGGAGAGTGGGAGAAGGCAGGTTTACTGCAGAGGGACACTCTCTTCCCTTTCTGACAGTGCTGAGCCATATGAGAACTTGTGGTGCTTGACAGCAACAGCCCTGCTATGGTTGGTGCTGTAGGAAAACCCTCTGAGTGTCCCCAGCAGGTCTCTCTCATCCTCTCCCCTACAGGGTCCATAACTGGAACAGCAATCAGCCTAATAAAGCCTGATAACCATCATCCCACCAAGGAAGGGAAAAAGGTACGGCAGCGCTGGAAATATTCTCTGCCATTTGAGAAAGGCTTCCTGTCAGTTGCTGCTCTCTGCAGAAGAGTATGTTTAAACACACTACCTAGAAGACTGCTATTTTTAGTACAGTCGTGCACTTCAAAGCATTTCCTGCTCAGAAAGTCACACCAAAAGTAAAAGGAGAAAATGCAATGGCTCTGTTGCCTCCCAACACACCGATCTCCCTTGTAGAGACCATCCCACTACTGCTCTGCTGCAGTTTCCAGAGAAACTGCACACTCCAGTGACTAATTACTTAAAAATACAACATTCCTCAGGGAGGAGAAGTTTTAAATAAACCTGCAAAATAGGTAACACAAGCACATGGCTAATTTTTACATATGGGAGGAAGAAGGAGGGGGAAGGATGCAGGAGGATGGAAGAATTTAGCTCAAGAATCTGTGTTCTAGTCTTCTACTAAATAGTTCCAGCTCTGATCTAAATTTAGGCAATGAGCACTTCCTGTGGGAGACCATCTTCCAAAGCTGAAGAATTTTGATGCTAAATATTTTTAGTGATTTTGTAATTGAGGTAAAGTGGTTATTTGTTTAAAGGCCTGGCCTTCAGACAGTTAAACACATTATTCTATATTCCCCACCATTTCCTCTCTTATTCCACGCTGCACTTCTGTTTATTCAGTTCCAGGTTTCACTGCATTTTAAGTGGGTTTTAAAGTTCTATTTACACCCAACAGGAGCAACAAAAGCCCTTCTGTCATTATCCAGCAGTCTTCCATCACAGTGACATGACAGGCTGCTCCATACTTTGGTCCTGAGGAAGCCCTTACAACTTTATCACAACTCCTGCACTGCTTTGTGGTTTTCTGAACAAACCCAACTCCTGGATCTTTCTGTACCTCTGGTTTTCTCTCTACTGGAAGACAAACTCTTTCTTCAAATTTTAAGAAAAGGCAATACATCCACAGCCCACACTTCAACCCCCTCAAATCCCTCCCCAACCTCAGAAACATAAAACCTAAAAATAAAAAATGAATAGACTATTCACTTTACGAAGTTTATAATTCAGGAGACCTGATTTTCAACTGCTTGAGGTTGGCAATGCTTGTAGACACTAAAGTCTCTTTCTTGAAAGTTGGTTTTATAGTTAGTCTCGTGTTTACATATTTACATAGGGTGAGACACAGCTTGCCTATGAAAAAGCAAAGCAGCTAGTTTAAACTGTTCACCTGTGCTATCACTTGTCAGTGGGGACATCAGTAAAGAACAGCTTACCTCGTCTGTTTTAGACACACATTAGGATAAGATTTAAAAAAAAAACCAAAAACTGGAGTATTTTTCTGTGTTTCCATCAGCAATACAAGGAGTTTCTAGACTACCTTGGACTAGACAACAAAATTAGAGAGGTGACAAAAGCTGCTCTCTGAGAATTGGTTTGTAAACTCCACAGAGATCATGAAAGAGGAAATTTTAATTCTTCTAGAAATTTAATTCTTGGGGAACAAACCATCTGAAGGCCATGATTTTGATCTATGGATGAAGGGCATAAATTTTTTGGTGATTACCAGATTTTACATTCTTGTTGAGTACCTAATACTGGAGGACTGAAGATCTTTGCTTTCAATCTAGTACTGACTTCAACATGTATGATCTGAATTAGGAATTGAGATCTATCACACATTTTAAAAATACGCCATTCTTGCCAGTTTAGCTGTGAATTTCTTGATATCTGGGTTTTATCAGCCTAATGAACCATAAGTTCTCACAGAGAATCTAAACCCTATCTCTACAGACACTACAAAATATAGGCTTCTACTGGAACCTAAACTAACATCTAGGCTTGAGGATAAATCAGTGCCAATTTCAGTGAGGAGAAATTAGTACAGTTTGGCTTGGTTTCCCCTAAAGCATGGGAAGGATTGAAAAACCACAATTGCTCCTACATAGTGGCAATAGTTGTCAAATTTTGTTGAAGCAAAAGCACTAAAGTAACCTAAGGAGCTGCCTGGATAACTGAGATTTTAACAATGCTCCATCTACACTGGAGTGGCACGTTTGGCCTCTATGTTCTGTGGTTATAACCACTGTTGAAAGAACTGTCTACTAGTTATAGACTGCCAAAAGAGAAAATTAAAAAAAAAAAATCCAGTGCTGTGACTTAGATATAAGAAAATGTCGTCTGTCCCTCCTCAGCCTCACAATGCAATATAGAAAATATAAAAAATAATGTCTTTATACACACACAATAAAAATATACAATCGCTCACCTAGTCTGCACATTAGAAAATACCCAAAACTTTTAAAATTAAAACTTTTAAAATTAAGGATATGGCTGTGAATGAGACACGTGAATGTTTGCATTGTATATGATCTGATCATGATTTACAAACTAAGGCTTCACACACAGGGCTGCCTAGGGATTAATGACCAGCTGGGAGATTTGATAGTGTAGGACAAATCTAAGGATCATTAACTCCAGCTAGTTATAACCTTCCCAGAAAATGCTTTATACTAAAATTGATATTGTGATTACCCATTTTATAAATAATATAAACAGGAATAATGAAATAGCAGATTGTTTTGCTGTGTCCCTTTTTCTTGCAAAACGCTGAAAACTGGAGCACTCTAGGTGATGTGGACCTGGTGCTTTTGGAAAGTGAATTCTGCACGAAAGCCAGTGACACAACACTTCTTAGCATAGGTCCCAACAATACACAATTTGTTATCGTATTGGGCAGTACAGCAACAAGTAATCTTGCACAGAAAACAAAGAAATTCTGAATGCAAAATTCAATGCAGATAACCTTGCACAAGGAGATATGATCCCTTCACTGAACGATTAATCATCTGCAGAAACTTGCGCTGAATATAAAGAATTTTTAAGGTGACAAGAAAACCCCATCAAATTCTCTAGATTGGCACAGAAGTCTATTTGCTTTGATTTTAATTTGCAGGTCAAGCATAGCACGAAGACCAGTAATGCAAAGTTGTTATGAGTCCTTTCAAACAACAACTGTTCTTGAGCATGAACCTTTATTCCATGGGAGGAGTGTAGCTGCTATGCTGGGCTAGGTCAAGGAGCCATTTAGCAAGCACAACAGCAGTTCAACATCAGCCTGTGGGAAAAGCTGTCAATTAGTTACCACTAACCAAGAGTCACGAGTATTTTCTCTTTGCCTGACTACCATCGGGGAAAGGAGCCCTGCATTATCCATCTCCTCCCAGGCAGAGGCTGTGCTTTTACACAGTGTGATCATCACAACTTAGCAACCTCGACCGGGAAACTGAGTGAAGGCTGGATTTCAAAAGACAGGTAACAGCCTCCTGAAATGCCAAGATGCTACTCCTGGCAGGAAGGAATGCAGGCCTGGAACAAGTCATTCACACATAATGCAAAAATGAGCTTACCTGTTCGTTAGGCTCAAAGCTTATCTCTTCTTTTTCCGTCCTCATAGCTATTAACTTTGTGCTACCGGAAGGGTCTGTCTTACTGTCCAACCGCTCCAGTTTTGGGGGTATGTCTGGTAAACCAATATCTTTAGTATCATCTTTATCTAGCAAGTAGCGAAGTAGTGCATTATTATTCTTCTTAGGACTTGCTGGCTCCTGTTTAACAGTCACCTCTGAACCAGGAGCTGTGCTACTGGACTCCTGGTTCAGTTCTTTGCCTGTGGCCTCTGCTGTGAGCTTGGCCAGATCTACAGGAGAACTACTGTCCTGCAATAGTCTGTGCAAAATTTTATGCTTCTCCTTGAGCGAGGTTCCGTGTGCTGAACCAGACCCAGGCAACCCTCCCGTGGAGTCCTTGTTAATGTCTCCCATGGTACTGGACAAAGGTGAAGGCTCCATCTGATCTGATTTGGTGGTCAGCAATTGTAAGAGCTTTGTCTGGCTTTTTCCGTCGTGCAGTTTATTCTGTCCATCAGGTCTCTCGCCGCTGACAACCGGCGGCATGCTGCTATCGCTGTTGTCTTTCTGTTCTCCTGAATGGCAGCTGCTCTCTGCTTGTCCAGTTGTACCTTCTGATTGCTCCCCATATATTCCAAAGCAGTCTTTAGAGTCCAGGCTTCCCATCTTGCTTAACTGGGGAGGATTCATATTCACAGGGGAATTTTGTAAATTGCCCATTTTTAGGTCAGGTGAAGCCAACGACGATCCTAGAGAAACGCCGTGGCCCTCGCTGAGGGCCTGAAGTGCGTTCAGGGAACTGTTGGTGTAGTTATGGCTATTTCCTGTGCTGCTGCAGACTCCCACAGGTGAATGTAAGCTTCCTGCAGGGGAGAACTGACTGGGTGGGATGCGAGGACTTCCTGCCACTCCAGGGCTCACGCGATGCCTTGGGGAAAGCATAGAGTTTGGCTGCCCTGGGTTCATGCCGGGGCTGCTTTGTGAGGGGCTATTCATTTTTAGTGCATAGTTACTACCCTGAGGAGTGGATGCTTGTATGCTTGACACATGGTTCATTCCCCCTGAACCACCAAACCTGCCTGCTGGCATGCCCACTTGCTCCTTTGGGCCATTTATGGCAAAATTTATATTGCTACTGATGGTCATATCCTGACCTGGATTCCCACTGCACATGGCCTGATGGGCAGGGCTGCTGGAACTAATTGGGTTCAATATCTTCCCCATTCCTTGTCCAGTCAAATCCTGATTCATTCCACAGACATTCTGCTCTCTATGTGGCAAGAGGAAGAAAAACAGCCTATTAGCTAAATGACAGTAGCCAACTTGCAATTACATTACAGAAAAAGAAGCGAAATCCCAAACCTCACTTTAAAATAACACAAAACCCTACAATCTAAAATAAATCAACAATTTGACAAAAGTGATATGCAACTCTCAACATGGCTGAACATTAACAGTATGGTTTTTCAGTACCTCATTAGAAAACAATGAAAGAGAGGAAAAACAGAATTAAACCTCACTTAAATGACAGTCATTAGAAATGCTGATAGGTCACAATTTCAGACTCCCTTTAATGTATCTCTCCTCTACAATTTGGCAAGAGCTGATTTCTAGAACTGAAAGAAATCTCATCTGAAACATATGACCCAACAAATACATGTTTTACAAGACAGCTGTGGACAGCTGTTCGCTGGAGTTTTGAATTTCTCTGAGTTAGCTCTGCCACAAGGCTGGAGTGGGCTATTTGCCCACCAAGTTCATAGCGAAAAGAAAGTTGAAAAAGTCACATTTTTACACTGCCAGAATATTTCAATACTGCTCCAAAACAGCATGTGAGCCAAGGGAACTACTGGATACTGGTTCAGAATGAGAACAGTCTGTTAGCAATCCAGTCCTGCACAGGCATTTAGGAAAAGGGGAGAAGAAAAACAACAAACCACACACATACGAACTGAAACTCATATTTTAGAGATGCAGGCCACAGAACAGAAGACACACACACACACACACACACACACACACACAGAGAAAAAGCTCTTGTGAGAGCACCTGAAGGTCACTTTTCTTTTCCTCAGTAGATTTTAATTAGTTTATGGGAGGATGTAATACACTTTTTACTCTGTGCTAAAACTTAAATTAGGAATATCAGACATATTCCCAAATGCTAAAAGCTACAAAAGAGACAGAGTCAAGTAGGTTAGGAAGGAAAAAAAATGAGATCCTGACCAAAAAAATCAAATCAACTCTGGACTTCCAAAACCAAATACAAATGGAACACTCCTAATATGCATTCTCCATGAGACAAAAACTATTCCTATTTGCACAGTGTAAGTATCTGCGGATAAACCTTCACTTTTGCTACAGCACGAGAAGTGAAATAATCGAAGAATACAGAGAAGTGAATCTTCTTATTCTGTATTTGTTACCTTAGGTATAAAGGCAAAGGTGAAAAATATAAACTATAAAAAAGGGGCATTTTTAAAACCTTATTACAAATACAGCAGTACCAGCACTCTGCTAAAAAAAGTGCAAGAAAATATATGAGTACCATTTAAAAATTATTTGTGCTTGCTTTTGAAAATGTTAAATCCGGCACTTAATAAAATACTAGGTCTATTCAGCAATCCAAAGAAAACAAATTGCAGACAGCTTTTTGGTCAGATCAATCTACAATTTCTATAAAATGGTTTCAGTTATAATTATGTTTAGCACTGTTTTCTTCCTCTCAAGAAAAATGATACAGAAGTTTCAAGGAAAATGGTATTGTAATTATAGTCAGCCAGTAAAACCTGAAACAAAATCTGTACTAATACACCAGGACATGCAATGACTTAATAAAAATTGTATGTTGAAGTTCTGGTGTCGGTCATTACTCAACCCTGACTTTAGCATATTATTGGCTGTACTTCTTGAAAAAAACCCCAAACTAACAGTAGTGACACTTCCTAGGATTGGACACATGAAAGCCAGTAAGCCAAGCACCAAAAAAGACAACGCACAAAGGGAATCAAAGAATTAAATAACGCTTTGTTTAAAGTGCAGTCTTAGTAATCATAACCTGCTCTTTTAAGAAGAACCAGAAGCAATAGCAGAATGTGAGTGACAAGAATTCTAAGTTTTCTAGATTTAATTACAGTTGGAAAGTTTCTTGTCTCTATTATGCAAAATATAGGAAATTAAAATACTGAAATTAAGAATATGGCATTGAAAATCCAGCATGTCATTTTTAAAATCTGAAATAATCTTAGTCTTTTCCTGCTCAAGCATTGATTTCAAAATCTTACTTTGTTTCCATATCGGTTCTGGGTCAACTGAAATCTATCAGCCTTAAACAATCCATTTGCCTTGGCAACCTGGTACTCTGTGTGTCTCTCAGCAGAGTGAGCATGCAAGGAAGTGGCCAGGATTACCTGTGAAGCATATGCAAGGAGATTACAAGCTGAGGTTCACTGGTCGTCTGAGAACGGATGAGCTTGCTCTTCGTTTGGGCAGAAACGATGGTGCCATCCGACAGGGAAAAGCGATAAACGGGACTGAAGGCCAGCCCCTGCCTCAGCACTGCAGGCAAGCAGAGCAACACAGTTAAAATAATGAGGAACTGCAGCACAGGTAGCTCAGCTGCTCAACATCTGACGTTTAGCATCGATACTGCAGATGCGGTGCTAATTAAGCAAAACAAACCAAAGAACAAATTTATTTTTATTCTGAAAATAAACAGATGCGAAGCATACAAAACAAAGGAACCTGCATGCTGTAGGGTGATCAAATGAAAATCTGTAAGGAGTGACAGCAATAACAGGAAGATACTATGAAGTAGAATGTATCTCAGGAGCAGACAGGAAATTCTTGATGTCCATTTCACTTTTCATCAAATATGTGTCTAATTCCTTTTGCTCCTCAAACGCTTTTTCATTGTACTATCTACATACTGATGATTTAATATAAATGTCCTTAATTTTTAGATCATCGGTTTCCATTAGCCTGTATATTCTCCTCCTTATTGCCTGCCTGAATTGTCTTGCAACAGTCACCCTCACTACTTCCTTAATTTAAAAAATGCACAAACTCTTACATAAGAACAATTAGAAATGAGAACTAGAAAGAGCAACTATTACTTCTAAAAGAACAAATACAAAATATATATAGCTCAAAAAAATTAGAAACACAATTATCTAAACCGAAACTGGGGCTCTGCTACCCTTTCTCAGTGTTGACTGCATTTCAGCTTTGGGGTTTACTTCACTGTACGTATTCTGCAGCCCTTTAAGCTTTTAGAGTAAATCTGAACTTCAACAAATTCAGTTCTCTAACTTCCACAGATCCCTGTGACAGTTCTTTAACGAAAAATTAAAACATGTTATGGAAAAGAAAATCTCCCAAACATTTATTCTACTGTTCACTCTGCCATCAATGAAAAAAGTGTGATCACTTAAAATTTCTAGTCCAAAAGCAATCATATTAGGATTGCAGATATGAGAGAAGTAAAATAATTTAAAAATTTTCCTATAATCATTTAGGGAAAAAAATGGAACGAAGCACTCTAAGTACATTTCATTTGCTTTTTTTTCATACATACATATTTTCTGTGGTGTTCTTTCTCTCTCTCTCTCTCTCTTTTCTTTCCTTTTTTTTTTTTAATTAATATTATCATGTGATCTTCATTTAATTGCTTGTCTTTTAATATTTCCTGTTGTAATGAAATGACATGGTTTTCCATGTGTAGCCTTTATTTTTCTGGTCTACAGAGCTACCACATTTTCAGCCTTGCAACACTGGTTACGATTGCTTTCCTTCCCAGTCCCCCACTGTTATATATTGTTCTGCAAGGTTTCAAAGTATTATCTAAGCAGTGAGAAAACAGGAAGCACAATTTAAACAACCAGAAGGGGGTTTTTCAGAGTAAAAATGTAACGAAAAACAAAAACCTACAACAGTGAAACAATACAAAACAAAATTTCACTGTTGGGTATGTCATTGTTTCAGTTTAACCTTTGGGCACCAGAAGGTCCAAAGCTCTTAACTTTAGCATATACCACATCAGGAAATTCCAGTACTCAATGCCAACAGGATACAAGTGAAATCTCTACTTAAATCATTTTCCAAACTAATTATTTAAGAAAACAAGATTGTTTCCATATTCCTCTTGAGGAAATGCTATTTTTCTGACTGTGGCCAATAAAAACTGACCATATATTCTGCATTTTATACTGAGTGAGAATTTTAAAGCATGTTTTTTTATTGTTTATCAAACTAATGCTGCATTTTTTCACTGTAATGCTGAACTACATGTAGGAGATCATTCTTTGCTTCCATTCTCAAGCCACAACGACTTGAAAACTGCAAGCACAAAGATGCTACAGCCCAAGATATCACTTGGTTTTTTTTCTCCATACTGCAGGGAAAGGGAGCGAAATATTTCAGACATTATTCCTCTTCACTGCTGCATAATTTGTAGGAAAGTAATTCCAGAGGTTTTTTCCTCCTCTTATCGCTCACCATTTTAACTCTGACAAGAAGAGAAGAGCTCTCTCATTTAGGCTAATTCTACAATTTACATGACGATCCTAAGCTGCAACTGCAAAATGATACAGTGTAAACTCCAAAATACATATATTTTCACCACTTCACAGAAAGTGTAAGAGAAGACTCCTTCAAACCTTAGAACTCAGTGTAGTAGCTGCTAATTTGGTCAGGAATAACTTGAAGACTGAAATAACAAGTGCTGGGATGCCGTAACACATACCTCTAATCATCTCTGGCACAGATGGGTCCTTACCTGCAACTGCTCTCTAAACCCCTGGTGTAACTTTAATTGCCCTCTTCAGTTCTGTCTGAAATCACAGCATAAGGCTGTGAACTTTTAGCACTTCTACTGTATATACCCCAAAAACTGCTATCCAAAATAACGCAGCATTTCTGCGATCCCACATTTCTAAACCACCACCTGAAGTTTTCAGAAAAGCGGAACATATTAAAGAATATTTAACTAATGCCTCATGACTAAAGCTCTTTTTTTTTGGTGCCTATTTGGTGGAATAATTTGATATTCCAGTTACAATTTAGTACCCAAGACAACATGTCTGTTGCTTAATGACCATGGTAACTATTTGTTACAAGCCAGCTGTAAACGCTGTTCTTTAAACATGAACCCAAAGAATGATGCTTCTGTACTGGAAACATTCCAGTTATTCCCAACTGGGTTCGAAATTACTTTCCCATGGACTAGATAGGGTTATTTGCTTTTATTAATTTGTGTCTGTGTTACTAGAATTAGAAGTATAAAGGTTTTATGAAAAATCCCCAACGAGTCAGTACCACAGAAATCTCATGGGGACCATTCCAAAGTGCAGTACTTTCCTACTTCGTACCTGCCATAATGTTTTCTGAGTAGACGGGCTTCTGGTATACCCTGTAACACTTATCAGCTACCTACAGTGCAACAATGTAGGGGTCCAAAGAGTATGAGAGGTGCAGCTTTGGGAATTTACACTCACTCAGTGTTTCTCACAGGAAATGTGACAGTAAAAGTCCATTTTTGTAGAGAAAGGGAATACAGGCAATGAACTGCAATGTGTGAGTTGAGGTTTTGAAGAATAATGGTCAGTGAACATTTTGGTGGATAACATGCAAGGGTCTTTCTTTCCAAAATGATTTTGACATTATGAAGATTTAAAACACACTCCAGGATGGCACAGTTGTAACAAGAAGGCTAAAACCACCAGTGAGAAAGCTGAAGCCCTCCCTAGAGAGCCATCAGTGTGTAAAGTAAAACAACTTGAGAAAGGGACTGTCAGTAGCTGGTGATTGTTCCCTAAAAGCATAACAAAGAGAGCACAACCAAGAGACACAAATGGCAAACAGGTTAAATATGTAAAGTGCTAAAAGTATGAAACCTAACCTTCCTGGTGATGCCTCTTGGCAAAAGATATTTCTCCCTCATGCTGTGAGTGGAACCTCTGAATGCATCTTCTCACCAAATCCTCCCAGCCAGGTTTCATAGCTGCTCGCATGGTACTTGTGTCCAGTGAAGTTATTTTGCCTGATATTAGAAACATTAGAAAGTATTTGTTATAGCAGTTTCCCCACTGAGGAAAAGGAACTAAAACTACAAACTTCTACTCCTATTTCACAATACCTTGAAGATCCTGGCGTGTAGTAAAGCTCTCTGACGAAGGAAGAAGCGGTCTTTCCTTCATTGGAGCTCTTCTTGCAACACAAATCAAGCAAGACTGCAAATCTTAGAGAAAAAAGTTACTTCATTTAATTTTTATGGAAAGGGAAGATTTTTGCTTCCACAAAGACTTCAGAAATACTTTTTAAACGTTCTTTAAATCTATTTGGACCAAAGAATAGATTTTGTACCAATAAAGGCATAGACAAAACTCAGTGGGTTTGTATCTTCATTACTTCCTAAAACCTTAAATAAAACAGGAAAGGTGGGTTTGTTTTCTTTCAGAAGAAAAATTAGCAATTACCACCACAATCCATAAGTATCGGCACATGTTTATTAATCTACCTATAGTAGCTCAACCACTCAGGAGGTAAGTAATAAAAAAGAATATACTGCATGTACAAAGAGCACATTTCTTCAACATTCACCATTTTTTACCTTCTAAACCAAATTTCCTAAACTTGCCCCAAATGCTTGCTGTTCCTGACAACTCACCTTCACAATAACTCTTTTTACTTACCTGAATACTTACAAAACAATCTGAGGAAATTTACCTGCTGAAGTAGTAAATGGTAAAGGAAATGGTGAACCACGACTGTCTCCAAATTCTAAGAACTCAAAAAATTGCCCTTTGAAACTTTCTTCCTAGTCAGCTACATTTTTCTACAACTGCAGCCATATGAAACTAGGGTATATCTCTCTTTGAGGTAAACAGAATTTCTCTCAGTTCTCTCAGTTGGTTTAACAAATAGGTGCATGCAAGTGTGTACTCTCACAGCCAAGACAAAAGTACATTTCTACAGTTAAATAAAAAAAACAAACCTAAGAATTTTTCCAATTTTCAGGACTTAGAGGTCATTTTATCAACTGCTGTGAAAGTGCATTAACACAAACTGGAAATGGTCATTACCTTCACCGTCCTCCTTGAAAGAATTTGGTTGAGAAACAGCAAAGCACTGCATAGTTTCATATTTCTGATGTGCTTCCTGGTTATCATGGCCTTCTTCAGAATCAGCAAGAGGTTTTACCAGCATCCGACAATTAAAGGTATGGCTATTACGCCTAGGAGTGTCACCAGACCAAGATCCCCCATTCACTGAGCAAAAGCAAAATCAGATAGTGAGACAAATCTGGTACCAGGTATTTCTGCTGCTTATTCACAGGAAATTAATCAAGATGCTTTATAAACTGGTTGGGAAACAAGCTCATTTAACAACAACAACAATTTAATTTTAATATTAAAGCCCAAACCAGCACGTAACTAGGTCATTTATAAAATTAACAGATTTTAAGAGCACTGCTTATTTGTTCAGCTATTATGTTTTTTTCAAGTGACTTAAAATGACATAGTAGAAAGGCAGAATAAATACTGGTGCATGCAAAAGTTATACAGCACAGCAAAAGCTGACTGGGTAGATCAAGCTGATTTCTGAGACTGCAAAAAATAAGGCAGTATGTAGGATCTTTCCAGTAAACTTAAAAGGTACTACTAAAAGACATGGCTGCATTGTATAAAAATCTCTGTCCAGATTAGAAAGGGAAAGAAACGAAACTAATATGCACTTACAAAAACAGGAAGCAATACAATAGGGAATATAATGAAACACACCATCACAGCTACAGTGGGAAAGACTGAAGGGTTGAAATGACCTGGGTGGAGCTATGGATAAAACTAAAGCCTAACACAGTGCTTAAGACAAATAAAAAAAGAAACAAAATCCTGAGATACATAAATATAGGTACTAGACATCAGTCAGAGCGAATTAATGTTAGACCACATTAGGAAATGGCAGGGTCATATTTAAAATACTCTTTGCTTGCCCTCTTCACTCATAAAATGCAATAAATGCAGTAATATATTGACTTTAGCCATTTACATTTTTGCTTCTTCAGAGTATATAAGTACAGTAATAAAAGGCTAAAGTGAATTAAGTTATACTTTTTAAACTTTTTAAAGCTGTGAGTAGATGAGGAACCCAGTATTGACTATCTCTTTCTTTTCATCTCCTCCAAAATTCAATGACATTAAAACTAATATTAGTATGAATCCAAAAATGGCTGCAACTAACAAAAACAGTTTTTGAAAGTTAAGAGTAAATACTGCTGAGAAAAAAAATTGAGATAAAAATTCTAGTGTAAGGAGGTTTCTGATTTTTCTTTTATACTCCTCCTTTCCTGGGCCATTCTTGGAACAAGCAGCCTAGACAGAGAACTAACAGAGAGTTCACATAGCTAATGCTGTCTTTTAGTGATTTACTCTGGAGATCCATTAAAAAATATCAGCTAACATGAATTACTAAGAGCAATTTTAACAAAGAAGAATTTGAAAAGAGTGGAGGATGCTTTTGAGAATAATATTAAACATTCATAGTCTATATATACATTAAAAATAAATAATGTATATGATGAAACTGTAAGTAGTGTCAGGACATTAAGTTATTGAAATGCTGACTTATAAAAGCAAAGTTAAATAAGTAATGGTATGATATGAGGAAAAGTTATATACCTAAAGATTTTGGCAGCAGGATTTTGACAAATTCATTGTGGTCCCCTACATGCAGGATGCTGTAAATGCTTGTGTTCATCAGCTCTTCTTGGTTGTACCTCAGGTACTGTGTCACATTCTCAGAAACAAACACAACATTACCTTCTGGGTTCACTACAAAGAAGAACCCATCCAGGGCCTAAAGAGGGAAAACCAGAAAACCAGAGAGAGAGAGAGAGAGAGAGAGAGAGAGAGAGAGAGAAAGACAATAGCAAACAATCAGATTAACAAAATACACAGAAAATAAATACTCCGTTCAGAAGACATAACTGAATCTTTCTTCTTCCATCCCAGTTCTTATATTATTGTCTGTAAGAGCAAAGGACACCTTTCAGATTGAGCACCTAATCTTACTTATCTGACACTAGTGAAAAAGCACAGAAAGGTACACACCTTGCAAAATAATGAAACCTACACATGGAAACAAACCAAGTGTCCCACCACAAACAAACAAACAAACAAACGTAATGGAAGAGGCTGCCATCAATCTATCTGTGTATGAACTTAGAAACTTGGACCAAAAGATGGTTCTGCTAAACCCACAGCCTGTTCACTCCTCTACACAGTACAGGAAGATGGAACCCAGGAAAACACCACAGGACATCCTGGCACAAGGCAAGGAAAACACAGGCAGGAAGAAAGGCTCACTCTCCATCGCCAGCAGTGCATCTTCATAGAATGAGGCCCCATGGAGCCGGGAATGTGAGGCATTAAAAGCAGAGAAGGGCAAAGGGAGCTGAGAGCAGGCAGTGAGCAGTGAAGGTGGGGGAGGCCTCGATTCCTAGGACTGCTTTCATTTTTTAAAAATTTGACACCAGTTTAATTCAGTTTACACATCATCTAGGGAACAGGAATCAGATTTTCACCTCCTCAACTCAGCTCCTTTTCCAAAGGACTTAAAGTTTCTCTGAGGAAGTGTCTACATTAGTATTTTCTGCTGATTGGTTTCCATTCTTATCTCTTGTGATAGTGATGACCTAGCTACAGCATTCTCTCCAGGATATCTGTCCTATGTTATCTGAAGCCTAAACCAAATACTACATCACTTCTACCCAATGAGGATAGAGTAAAAACTTGAGTATTGGTAAGAAATTCTCATACAAACTTTATTTTTCCTAAGATGCAAGTATCATTGCAGATGGTAGAAATATATCATCCTTTTAATTTTATGTCATATGAGCAGATAAAGGGGAGGATACAGTTAAATGTAAAAGCACCAAAGCTTTTGGTCTAAGCATTCAATTAAGAATCTTCACAGACTTCTGCAGCTTTGCCTGATTTATTCACCTCTCTAAGGACTGGCAGGAAATCACTAGGAGAGTTGTTAGTTTTTGTATCTCCAGGGACAGAAATAAATTAGAAAAACAGGTCACCCACAATTCATTGTGGGTCAAAACCAAGTGGATCCATACTAAATCTGAACACAGCTCACTGCAAAACAGTCAGAACAAGGAGGAGCTGCCACAGCAAGCACAAGGTGTTTTTAATTTGACCCAACTTGTAAACTGTACAACTGATGTGTTGGTCTTAGCAGGCAGTTCTCAAGTCCACTGGTTACAGAGAGATGCTTAGAATGCTGCACATTACTGAGAAGTCAGCAAATCTAGACAATAAAAGAGAAGGCTAAGGATAGATTTTACTTCTGCCTTCAGTCACCTAGCAGGAGGCTAAAGGGAAGACAGAACCAGGCTCTAGGTTAGAGATTCACAAGGGAAGGATGAGATGCAACAGTCACAGGTTGCAAGCCAGGAAACTTCATGGAGATATAAGAAAGAAAAATCCACCATGAAGGTGGTCAGATATGGGAAGAGGCTGCAAAATCCCCTCCAACAGAGATATTCAAACCTTGGCTGGACTTGGATCTGGGCCACCTGCTCTACTCGGACCAGTCTGCAGTGGGAGGTAGGAATACACATGCTCCAGAGGTTCTTCCCAAACTAAGTTAGCTAAGTTAGATATAATGATTCTACTCTAGGGGAGGATCAGTGAAAGCACAATGCAAGCAGAGCAGCTGAGCCAATGACAAACTCTTTGTTCTATTTTTAAATTGCAACATAATAAAACCCACAAATAAATGTATAAGTGTATACTTTCTCTGACTGCCTCCAAATTAAGATAAGCTAGGTCTTTTTTTCTCCTTTTGTCACAAATTTTCATCTCTGACATGGTTTTTTATCATTGCCTTCTTTTTTTTTCCTGATAATTCTTGGTTCCTCCTGTTGATTTACTTTCTTTGTGAGCTCTGNTATATATTTTCTTAACATTCATTACATTTTCCTGCTGAGTAATATTTAACTAACAAAGATTTACAAATTAACTGATAAATTGAGGCTCTAGTATAATTTTAACATAATAATTTCTAGTATAATAATAAACATTTTTGCTATGGATTAACGTCTTAGGCTGCATTTCACCACCACTTAAAGCCAATGTAAGCATGGGCTTTTTGATTTAGCACTTCCTACATCACAACACCAACCTGTACTGTGTGACACTATGAAGAGCTGGACCAGAGAGCTGAGCTAGCTGAAAACTACTTGGAGAAAAAAAAGATGCTAGCCACATCAGTCCCCAGCTGGCCAACCATGGAAGCCATGGTATTTAGAGCTGGCAGAAGGGCGTGGGTTTGGCTGAACCATCCTGCTTGGCAGCTGTCCAAACATGAATTCACAGGGGCAGCAAAACCAAAGCTATCACAGATGTTTATTGGAGTCCTAAGGAGAAAATTTTAAAAGGTGGAGATGGCAAGCAAGAGATTATGAGAGTTACTGCTATCCCACAATAATCTTCACTTTTCCCTACTGTTTCCTACAGTAGCAACTTCTTTGGCAAAGAAGTGCTCTCAGTGCTGTTCCCTCACAGCTGTCTCTTGAGTTGATCACAGACGTGGCCATCTGGGTTTAGAGTAACAAAGAGTCTTATATATCAGTCTCTCATTTCTTTCTATTCTCTTAAGAAAATAATCTTGCAGGTAAGCAGCAGCAGGCTTTTGAGGAAGTTAGTGCACCAAGATATTTGAATATTTTAGAAACCTCCACTTTTGCAGTAATTTCTTACTTCTGCTCCCAGATGTGAGCCACCACAATAAAAAACTTTTCTTCAGAGCTATTGGGAAAATGGGTGAACAAATAATGGACAGTATGATGGAAGAGAAATCAAGAAAACAGATATTTTAGATTATATATTGGAACAGAAAATACATTTGTGTTCTTTGAGATGTTGTCATCTCTCTCGACTGTTTTTCCACTCTTCCTATCTACTTTATGCTTTAAGCTAGAAATATGTTAAAATATTCCTCAGAGGCAGCTGCCTGATGAATTTTACTCACTTTCTTCATCTGGAAACACTCATTATTTTGAGGATTCTTCAGTTTTATTCTTTAATAAAAACATACAATTACATTTCTAAACCAAATCAACTAATAAACTGTTCATCAGCATGGCCACTTTTATTATTTGGCAATGAAAAAAGGTAGGGTTTTTTTAAGAGGTTGTGTAAAAGGGTTCTGTAAAGATTAAATAACTGAATTGCATTTCCTTAAGGTGATAAAGACACAAAGAAAGTATCTGTAGTCTTTCCACAGCAAATATAGAACAACTTTCAGTCCTTTTAAAGTTTCTTGGTGCACAAGGACTGTGGTTCATTAATTAAGCTCCACAATGTTTCGTTGTTAATATGCAAAAGGAAACTAAACTAAATTAAATGGAACAACAGAATAAATGGGTGATTTTACATGTCATGTTTGCTGCAATAGCCAATCACACAAGATAAGCCAGGAAAAATATAATCTTATTCTTCTTTACCCTGTGATTAAAACAGGTCCTTACAATTAAATTAATAGAAAATTAAAGATAAATTTTAACATAGCAGTGTAAGAGATGAATGCATAACCTTGTTTCATAGCAAAAACAACAACATTCAATTCAGTGAGTATGTATAATAAATATTAAACAAAATAAATTAATGTTACCCCCACTTTTCAAAGAACAATGCTTCCAACCTCTCTAATCTTATGTTTTGCAGCATGAATTTGGAGCCTTTATTTGTACACAATATAGAAAACTATGTCTTCATTTGACCAATTATGAAAATAAAGCAAATACTTAAAACTGTTACACATGCATTCAGAAATTACAGAATAATTATGCTTCTGCCAAAGATGATTCTTTTAGCTTGATTCAGAGTTTGTGCTTTATGTTACCTAAAGTAACATTTATTCTTCCTTAGATAAGGCCCCCAGCCAGAATGGGATGGGAATAAACAGTTTGCAAGTGAGTTTAAGCAGATAAAGCAGTAGTGCCAAAGGACAGCAGCACATGACATAAGGATCCCTGATAACATACCTACCCAACATTACTGCTAACACACATTTAGAAGCTACTCTTGAATCATACAGCCTTTTGGGGTATCAAAACAACAGCTAAAATCAGACAGGAATCATAGCTGAACAAACTGAAATACACATCTTGAAAATCTCTCCTAGATTACTTTCATATTCTAGAGGGAAGAGTCCTGATTCAAGCGCTGAAATGATAAAATATTAAAGCAGTATAGCAATGACAAGCACTTTCAGTGGAATATTATTCACTTGTATATTACAGTATATAGAAGTCAATGTTTAAGTGCAACAGGTCTTCCACAGCTGTTGTGGCTCTGAACAAGTAAAATATGCACAAGCAGACACCCAAGACCTGCTATCAGCTGAAGCCCCTCAGGCTGTGTTACAAAGAAGCAGAACTCTCTCCGCCTCTCCCTACTTCAAGTTAAAGAGAATTTCATCACTGAATGCAAGAGAAATAAATATGCTGCCTGCTCTTTAATGACACAATCCCAAGTAGCCAGGATGGCTTATCTCTCTTGACCATTCCTTTACAGTGACCTCTGACTACACCTTTTCATTCCATTCATCCTAGGAGGAGCAGAACTGCCCTAAACATAGGGATTTTGTGCTCTTTACCTCAAGCATCATTGGTCCAAGTGCATCCTTGTCGATGACACTCTGACCTGTAGACGATACATCTGCCTTTTGCACTTCATCTTCATTAGCCGCTGCTGCTTTTTCTGCAAGAGAGAAAAATCATGTGTTAAGTGACAGCAGACTGATCTCACTGATACACCAGGAGCTCACAGGGTATTGAGAAGAGCTGTGAAACTCTTACAGTGTAACAGTTCTTAAAATGAGATTAGACAGTGTCCCATAATGATTCAAAAGGAAGCATAACTAGCCTATTTGCTTCTCTGTTTTCAGGTCTCATGACACAAATGAAATAATTTCTCATGTTTCTCTGCTAGACATTTCACCAAACTACAGAGCCTAACACTGGGAAAAGACAAGGGCTCTTTATGAAGGTGCAGAGAGCAAAAACCAGGATCAAGGTGTAGCAGAAGACTGATCTAAAAGAGCATGCAAAGCTTACAGCCGCAGAGCTTTTCCATGACCGCTATATTTAGAAGGAAAAACATAAGTCCACAATCTACAGTTTCAGTACTGAGAAACAGCGGCCTCAGTTCTGTTCCCATGTCTCCACCCACATTCTCACTATCACGTAATTTTCATACCACCTTATTTACCAATATGTTATGAGAACTACATAAAAGTTCAAGTGCTGCATTTGAAAATTACAGGCAAGAAAATAATGATTTCAGGTTCCTGGAACATAATGCCATACGTTAAAATGTGTTGTATCACAGGTTATATCCAACTCCAAACGTAAGAGATATTCACAGAATTTTCAAACCTGGTGTGTTTATAAGTCCTATCAAGCAATGAACTGTATTAATGTCTCTATTTCAATAATGATATTTTAAAGATGAATTAATAAAAGAAATAAAACTATTATGCAAAATACATATTCTAATGCAGATTGTACAGTGTAAATTAATGAAACAAGTTACATTTTGTTGTTAGTTCTATACTCCAAACATTATTTTACTATTTTTCAAGCAGCAGTTATGTAAAAGCTAGAGCCATCCTGCAATCTAGAATATTAAAAATAATTAGAAATTTCTTATTTTTAGTATAATGCAATGGATTACTTTACTAAACATGAAAGCACACTGAAATTTTAACAAGAATTTCTGTCTTCAACAATAAACTAGAGGAACATTCAGTGTAAGAATTACTGAAGGCACCATGTGCAGATGGAACAAAGGGCCTTTGGAAAATCACCGCTAGTAAAAATTAAAGCATCAGTCATGCAAACTGAAATGTATCCAAGTGTACAGCATTTTCCACTATCTGCAGATCTGCAATAATGCAGGTAAAGCTCCTCTGAACTTTCCTTGGCATAGGTTTTAAGGTCAGTGTGAGTATGTGCTGCTCAGACATAAAGGAACTGCTTCTGTGAAGCCCTGGGTGCTCTCCTGCCAGTGATCACCTGCTGGCAATAAGGCTTTGGTCACTTGGGCTGTCTCATCCTAGATTTCTATGGTTTCTCATTTTCATAAAAGGACTCACAAAAATTTTAGCTGTCTTCTTAGGTGTCATACACTATATAACACCATCGTGAATAATGATTTAGCAAATTGCTCTGAAGATGGAGTTGCAGCTAACGGACTAATTTTAAATCACTCTGATTAGCATAATCTGATAGAAATAAATTCACTAGAAATAACTATTAACATTTCCTCTGCCACTTAAACTCACGAGGACATAAAATTAGTACTTCTGGTTTAGACTAAGGGTGGGATTTTATTTTTTCCCTAACCCTTCTTGTTTTGGTAAAAAAGCAGAAATTAGGTGTAACAGAAAAACAATTGAACAATCCTTCCCATCCTACAGCACAGCAGAGTTGGCACCATATGATGACACGAAACTGAAAACATGTTCTAAAAATTCTAAAAGAACTCTAAAAATAGAGTTGAGCTTTTAATAAAGCCAGTGATGATATCTGTTTCCCATCTGTTCCTCCTAGCATAAAGTGATCTCTATTTTCACACTGCAAAATATTAGAATGGACAGGGATACCAGCTTCTTGCTCTCACTCGGCCACTGCTTCAGCCATTGATACTGTCTTGATTATGGGAGAACATGGGATTATTCTCTATGAGTCAGAAATAGAGGGGTGGCAGATATGATCCAACAACGGTGTGCAAGCACATTAATTACAGTTTCCTCATGTCACCAGTTTACAGATACTTTTAATGATTATTTTTCACATAATACAAAATATTTGTTGCTGATTTTTTCACTCTTAAAACCATGGAGTTTATACAAACCACCCGTAACACTGATAAAAACAATTGTTTTCTTTCATGCACACTGATGAGGTTTTATACAAAGGAAAAAGAGGACATTTTTAATTATTATAATAGTTATCAACACAGAAGCTGCAAGACCAGGTCAGTCCAAGGATCTCTCAAACTGGATCTCATATCCAACTGCTGAGAGCTGCTGCTTTCCTCTCCATTCTGTTTTCTCCATTTTGATTGTTTGATCCCTGACTGCTTCTGCTTCATTACCAGCTGTCCCTCACATCCATTTGACTTCTTCATTTTCTTTTCCCTTTGACATTCTTTTCCTCAGAGGGCCCAACATCTTTGTGGAATCAATAAACTCAGTGCTTTCTCAAGGAGAAAGTGTAATGAACAGTGAAAATATGAAAATGCTATTTATACTCAAGCGTTACCTACCCACTTTTCCCAGAGATGGTGACAACATACACTACACTACTCATGAACTTTGGCTAGGCACTCTGAAGAGCAGTATAAATCACAAGTGCTCCAAAGTTATGGACTTCCTAATTGGATCTGTAACTTAATTGGGTAAGAATTCAAGTAGCTGGAGAGCTTAAAAGAGGCTACACATCCAGGCCACTATGGACACTTAAGTTTAAGTGGCATTGTATAGGAAACCTAGGCCTCAGACAGCCTCTGAGTAGGACCAGCTGTAATTTACGCCACTGTTATAAACTGCAGCTACTAATAATGCTCAACTATGTAATAAATTATGCATTTTTGACTGAATTACAAAGCCCCTCGCGTAGACTTTATCAGCACATACAAGACGAGTAAGTGCAAGCCCTGTCAGCAGTGTCATCTTGACAGTCAGTCATGGGGAATGTCTTGAAATGCAAATCTTTCCCTCAGCAATACAGCCAAATTTGTTGCAGGAAGGCTGGAAAAAAAACCCAATGATTGATACATGAATTTCTAATGCCGCTAAAATAATGCATTATCACAAGTCAGTATTCTTCATTTTTCTTAACAGTTCCAGCTTCTGGTGATGTTAAGTAATGGTGCAAAAATGTAAAGTTTACTTTCCCTTCTTTACTTCTATCTTTTTTAAGTTCTTGGGAGCCCAACAAAGACATCAAAAGCACAGAGAGTTTATAATTTCTACGCTAGTTTAATGATCTTTGCATCAGGCTTAGGAAAATAGCTGCAAAGACCCAATCTTGCAAAGCCTCTCAGAACTCTGTTTTTCCAGCCCCACACGAATTGTTGGTGTTACCCTCTGACTAACCACAGCCACTAGATTTTGCCACTACAGCCACACGGGAAGTGGGAGCTGGTTCCCTGACCTCACATCTTCCAGTGATGCCCCTGTTAAATGTCAGCCAAGTGTCACCAGGTATCCTACAGGCACAGTGGCCAAAGGGGCAGCAGAGAAAGAGTGTGGAAAAGAAATACAGCCTTCTGCTGCCAGAGAAAGTGAGCAGCATGGAAAGGGACCTCCCATGGCTTCATCTCCATACAGGAATTCTGCACTGGAGAGGGAGAACAGAATTAGAAACTTGTCCTATCCTTATGAATATGGCTACCAGGGATCAAGCATATTTTATCTGAATTACAGTAGTATAAACTTCACGCACATGAAATAATTATTAGCTCTGCTCAATTAAGAATTTAGCCTAGAGAGAGAAAAAAAAATTAAATAAAATACAAGTACCCCTGAGAGACATACTACAAAGAATATATACATCCAATTATGTAGTATTTTAGTGATGTGTGTAATTTAGACTTTAAACTGTGGGTATATTTACAATTGCATAAGCAGTATTGTACTAAAATACATATTAATATTTTCAATTGGGCATCTTCCTAGTGATCATAAACTGTATTTACTTTTCTACATTTAACATACAGAATAAAGAAGGAAAAAAAGGCTCTCAAAAATATTTTCTGATTAATTTACGAGTGGGAAGCCTCAAGGATTATTCCAAGCTCATTCCAGATTCTGAAAGCAAACCTTTGTGAAATCACATTAATTTAACAGAAATTCATAAGTCAGAGAAACTGAAGCCAAAAGCAATAGTTGGAAGTCTCCTGCTACATTTTAACTTAGCAAGCCTTCTTGGTTTTCCATCCTCCCCACTCAAGCTATGTCACTTCTCTCTGCATTTCTGACAGCAGACTCTGAAGTGTTACTGACGGGCATCACCTTCTCTTGGTTGTGTTTCAAACCCTACTTTCCTACAGGTGGGCAGGCAGGACCAGCTGAACCACTCAAAAAGCTCTCTTTGTCTGTATTCAAGCTCTGCTCCAATTTCCTCAAGGAAACCCGCTACAGAAATATTTCCCCCTTCGTGCTCTCTGCAAAACCAAAATGCATTTTTGAATTAAAGGAGCAAAACTTAGCCTCTGCAGGAATTTCAAATAGATGAAGCATAATTTGAAAGAGAAAATTTGCATCAACACAGATTTAGCTTATTTTTCATTGGAGCAACATTTAAGGCTCTTCACAGAACAAGAAGAGATGCTGGTGAAATGCTGGACCGGTAATAACCCTTGCTCTAAAAACCACCAAATAAAAAGGACGAGCAAAAAAACCCAAATCCTGTAACAGGTAAATTCAAGTTTATTATCCAATAATGTTTAAAACAGCTTTCCCAGGTGCCCTGCTCTTTGTAATTTTCTGGAATTGCTATTGAGATGCCACACTTATCTGAAATTGTATACCCTTTTTTGTACAACAGGTAAAAAAAATAAACCAAGAGATTTGTAATAAGTGACACTAGAAAGCTCAACTCTGCACTCTTAAAAAACACCATACAAATCAAGATTCTTAACAGTAACAGGCACATCACTTGAAAGTGAATGTAAATGCTATACAAAGTTTA